AAGGACTAGTTTTCTTTCTGAAGAAAAAGAACTGGATTTTTCATGGAGGCTGTTAGCTAGTCTTATGCAAGGGGGAAAAAAGTTCGGTGCATATCGAGCACCAAAAAAGCCTGTTAAAAAAGTGCCCTTTTTTGGTATCGCCGGAAATTTTCTTTAAAAAATTCCAAGCAAAACCTTATAATGAAGCAATTTTTCAATGGCTGTTTCAGCTTCAGTTCAAGCTCGTTTGGCAAAACAGCGCTGCAAAGTTTGCGTTTCTTACTATTAAAAATGCCAATGTTTTAAAGTTTTTTCGCCCAAAAAAAGATAAAAAATACTTGAATCGATTTTTCTTCTATTTTCTGGGGAATAATTTCAGTAGACTGTTGTTGACACTACGATCATCAGTCGTGATACAGCGTTGCAAAGTTTGTGCAAGGTGTCCCAGACCGCCTGTACCAGGCTTGGCTACCAAGCAAAACTGCGATAAAAAATCGGCGTTTGAAGATCCATACGTTTCCAAATTTCTCATATTAAGTATCATTTTAAGTTTCTCATTTATCATTTTTAGGATAGTTAGGAATGTATGTCCTCGAAACTGTCTGAGTCATCAGATTGGATTGTGCAGGAAATTCTCTAAAATTGAAAATAAGAGCTTGCATGTTTTCTAGAATATACTGATTTAGTCGAAGGAAATTTGGCAACGCTCAAGTGTTCTTACAACGTCTTTCTTTAACGCGTCAGTATTAACAACCAAGCTCAGGACGATGATATCGGTATGTACTAACGCCTTGATGCAACTATTCGTGCTCTATAGACATCCGTGTTTCGTTTTAAAGAGGTTGTTCCATCTACCATTGAAACTGGGCCCCGAATGAAATCTCCTCATCTTTTCAGGTATCAAAGGGCATGGTCAGGGACACCCAAAAATGGTTGAATTTTTTCCAAATTCCCCCCTGGGGAGGGGGGGCGGGGGGTTATATGAAAAACGGTTTTTTGGCTATAACTTTTGAACGGTTTGAGATATCGATTTGAACTTTTTTTTAAATGAAAGGTCGTTTAAAGAGCTTTCTTTTGGTATATTATGTTTAATAGTTAGGTCAAGTTTTGACCAATTTATGGCCTGTCAAAAATTTTCCATGAGTCCAAAAATCAGATTTCTGTAGTTTAGAGCAGCGACGATCGCATGCAGATGAACAAAAAACTGTTCAACTTATAGCCCTCTTTCTGACGGTTAAAATGAGCCCAAGATCATCTTGGGGAAACGATTTGTCTCCGAGTTATGCTTCTTCAAAGTTGGCGCGGCGGGGTCCGCTTCCGCGGGGCAGCGCTCCGGAGTACGATAGTTCACTCCCACCCCCCTCCCGTCATGCCACGCGACGCAAACCGAGGAAGACTACCTTTAATTATCATTTGAACAGATAAATGCACACAATATACGCTATTATGGTGTACAAGTATTATTAAAATTATATTAATATACTAAATAGAAGAGTGGAATCTCACCGAATTTATCATCACCGCAATCCATAGGATCATCGGCAGTGTGATCCGTATTTTCATCCTCATCTTCGTCGTCTGAAAAGCCAAAATCGACTTTTCTGAGAGGGAAGCACTCGTTCAAAAAGGCTGAAGGCGCTGGTTTTTTGTGATAGCGCCCGTAAAACAAATACGAGCACAAGGATTGATGGTATACGCGCACCGTTCTTACATGTGCAGTAACTTGCTTTAATGGCCTCGCTGGATTTTTGACTGGTGTCGATTAATATAAATATATGATATTCTTTTTTTGATTTATGCCTCGATAGGATCCGCGATCGAAGAAAAAGAGGCGAATTTACGGAAATATCATATTTTTGAAAATCTGGCAAAAAGTTATCCTTCGTCACTTGAAAGCAATATTTTCCATCAGCAAAATGGTCTGCAATATGACTTGCTGCAAGTCCAATTTGATAACTTCCCGAGAGGGTGTCAAGATCTTCGCTCCTCCACTGTTCTAATTGTTCAAAATGATCTGTCGTCAGGTTTTCAAAAACTACTTTTTTTCGGAGCCATTTCTCGTCCTCAACAATTTGTTGCACAATATTCGGCTCATTTAATTTTTGGAGCATTTGAATGGCAATTTTTGCGTCGTCACCATCACTTTGCAGGCGTTGAAAATATAAATTATGTATCGCGGACACTATGCGATAGTCGTCAAACAAATTGCCGGATCCAGGTATATTGCTTCTCATTTTATAGAGCGTTTTCAATATAATTTTAATAATACTTGTACACCATAATAGCGTATATTGTGTGCATTTATCTGTTCAAATGATAATTAAAGGTAGTCTTCCTCGGTTTGCGTCGCGTGGCATGACGGGAGGGGGGTGGGAGTGAACTATCGTACTCCGGAGCGCTGCCCCGCGGAAGCGGACCCCGCCGCGCCAACTTTGAAGAAGCATAACTCGGAGACAAATCGTTTCCCCAAGATGATCTTGGGCTCATTTTAACCGTCAGAAAGAGGGCTATAAGTTGAACAGTTTTTTGTTCATCTGCATGCGATCGTCGCTGCTCTAAACTACAGAAATCTGATTTTTGGACTCATGGAAAATTTTTGACAGGCCATAAATTGGTCAAAACTTGACCTAACTATTAAACATAATATACCAAAAGAAAGCTCTTTAAACGACCTTTCATTTAAAAAAAAGTTCAAATCAATATCTCAAACCGTTCAAAAGTTATAGCCAAAAAACCGTTTTTCATATAACCCCCCGCCCCCCCTCCCCAGGGGGGAATTTGGAAAAAATTCAACCATTTTTGGGTGTCCCTGACCATGCCCTTTGATACCTGAAAAGATGAGGAGATTTCATTCGGGGCCCAGTTTCAATGGTAGATGGAACAACCTCTTTGAAGGAACTCCAGTTTTCCAGTTCATGAAGCAGACTGCTCGCAGCGACACGTTATCACGACTGTGTATGGCGGTGGGATATAATATCCTGATTTGTTAAAATTGTGCGAAAACATAGTTTCCTGTTCTATTCCCTTAGTTTTTATCGGAAAATTTAATCTTGCCTCACATTCGCAACGGCGCGCCAAACGCGTCTGCGTGCTCTGCTTCATGGACTTGAGTGACCGCAGCGCCTTCCATTTTCCATATGCAACACACGTGTCCATAATGTACGAATAGTTGTATCCGAAGCATTCCTATCAACATCATTTGAATGCGTTGCTGCCAATGTTGACAGCGCTATTAGCATTAAAAGCCCCTTTTCGTCTTATCTTACCCAGTTGTTAGTGTCGTTTAATAAATAAAATAAATAAAAAATGTGCCCATTAAAAAATGCTAATATTTCAAAACTCTCCAGTTAAATAACAATTTAATCGATCTCTTTCTATTTTATGGAGCAAATTTTCATCAGTTCACGTTTCTCGCGGAAATCAAGACAGTTGTTGACACTAGGATCCAGCAATCAATCGTGATACAGCGTTCCAGATCACCCATATCAGATTTTTTTCCAGACTATTTTATGTTCAATGATGTCAGGGACGGAGGAGTCAAACAGGGAATGGGCTCGATAAATCGGACTTTCATTGTTTAGAGGTCCTTTAGTCCCTTTCAGAATTCATTCCTTGTTTAACCCTCGGTGTCAGACATCAACCATCAAGAAAAAAAATTCAAGGAAAGGCAAAACGAAAAAAAAATTCAAATGACCGTATTCTGACAGCATCCAGACAGATTAAGATCACTTTCCAGGAGGGAACATGTAAGCGTTTCAAAATATGTTGAAAAGTTTTAAAAAATTCTGTGAGCAATATCTTAGTAATAATTCAGTCCTTATCAGATCTAACAATTCAAATTCTTATTAGATCTAACAATTCACATCCTTATCAGATCGAAGAATTCAAACCCTTATAAGATCTTACAATTCAAAGAAGTCTCAGCTATCATACACGACAGTGCCATGATAATTCTCTCTGGGTGACTCAGTCTAACAAAAAAGATGTATATGAGTTTTCCAATACGAGCTCAGTGAAAACACCGCGCACCGAGCTCTTTGAATCCATTATGACTCATCCGTGGTAGCCGTGTGTGGGTGTAGAGCTTTGTTGCTCTCAATTGTTCACTCTTATTATCACGCAGTAGGCAAAAAAAGAACTTTGTGGGCAAAAACTAGAATTCCTTCAAGCAAAACCTCGAAAATCCGAGTTCGTTGCTCTTGTCGTATTTACATAAGCGACTGTGTTTGTATCATGGGTTAAACGTCAGTCGGGTCATCCTTGTCTCACACATAGTTTTACGATTGTGTCTCGCACATATTTTTGTGATTACGAATCAGATTTAATTTAATGTTACTTGCCATCTCAGCCTCTCTCATTTGTTCCCAGAAATGGTGTTTTAAGAGATTTTCAAGATTTTTTACACTTTTGAGCACCATCCATGAATGGAACCTGCTGAACTCTAATTCAAGGAAATACCATTGTATCGTAGAAATGTTGACTAAAATGCATGAAGCAACTGAGTTCAATTCTTAACCTCATCAGAGCGTTTTTTCCTCTGGATTGCCACCCTGCCTATCTGATCGAGAAAGTTCACCCAATCAAATACCTACTACTAAAGTAGAGCCCTTCTCCACTTAACTTATGGACGTGTCCAGCGACCGAAAAAAAATTCGACTTGAGCGGCATTTCGTCCTAACCGTAGTTCGACAGCGAGCTTTTACTTTATGTCTTTTTAACAATCTGCCATTTCGTTCAATTGTCAGAGAATTTTACCAAAATGTGTCAGGAAAATGTCGGGCAATTTAATTTTCCAAATTCTGTCGCAAACCTGAATGATAACAGAATCGAAATGATCTTAACAATATAATACCGCGAAACCTCGACCAATTTTTGGTCATCTGCAGCGGGGTTTTTGCTCCGTGCGTGTCCGTCCGGTGGCGGCATTTCAATTATCTCGTCTGTCCGGTGTTTCCAGGCTCGTTAGTTATAATGGCGGCTGGAGATAGCTTCCTAATTGGTTCCCCTTTTTTCTGTTGCAGCGTCTGCTCGGAGTGCGATGCGGGAGGAATGTCAGAGCTGTTGACCTCTCGTCCACCCCGGTCGGGAGACCGAGTCTGAGGATCGCGCCGACGGGACCTGAAGGGTCCTCACGAAGGAAGGTCACTCAACACCGCCCACCGCGTCCTTAAGTCGACACCATGTCCAAAATCGTTGACGAAGTCTACGGTGAGCGCTCCACCCGTCTTGGTCTTCTGCATGGTACTCTATTCTTCTCTCTTCCGCTCAGGGTTCACCAGCACAATGGTCTTGAAGCTAATTTCGAGATACCGCAATTTGAAATTTGCATAGTGAATGCAAGTTTTCTACTAATTTTTCGCTTTGAAAGGTATAGAGCCAAGTACTACGTTATTAGATTTTTACTATTTTATCCAATTGAGGAAGGCTAAATTTTCGGCCGAATCTGTTTGATGATATTTACGTGAAAATTAGCCTTGTTACTCCGCTGTGTAATTTGTTTCATTCTTGAATAAACTAAAACAGAAACAAAGTTTAAATTCAAAATAAAAGGTACCGCGGTACAAATTTTCAGTCCTAAAAAGTCCTACAAATTTGTTGTTTCGAGGTTGTTTTCAATTCGCCTTCAACTGTGTCCGCAACAATTGTTGTTATGAATATGTCGTGCGTGCTGACCTCAGCTAATTACATACTTGACTCTTCGAAGGCGTTTAATATGCGAAAGTAGAGCACCCTGTTGGAGAACACCAGAAATGAGATTGAACGACTCGTTTAATCCATATACTTCGTTTGTACTCCTTCGCTTGTACTCCGACAGATCACGCTACTTGTGCACAAAAAACGCCTTCAGAGAGTCGAGTATGTAAAGAGCCATAATAAGCACGCACAATATATTCGTAACAACAATTGCTGCAGACGCAGCAGAAGGAGAATTGTTCGGTTAAAAAAAAGTATAATAGGAAGTCTGCATGTATTGAAAGGGTACGTATTCGATCGAAATGAATCGAACAAAGAATAAAAACGTGAACCGATCAACACAGATTCCAAGGACAAATAAATAAAAAAGCTGATCATAATCAGTAGAAAACTTGCATTCACTATGAAAATTTCAAATTGCGGTACCTCGAAATTTGGCTCAGCTAAGATATTGATTTTCCGCGATTTAAAGTCCACGCGCACCTTAGCTTCACCCCCTGCTAACGGTTTTTGGGTAAATTTTTTTCGCAATTTTTTTTTTTTTCTTCAAGACCACTGTGCCAGGGAGCTTGAGAAATTAAGAAGTATGCACTTGATGCTCGTCACTGGAAGTCCGCCATTAAAAACAAAAACTACAATAAAGTGGAGCTTTTGCATGCGTCTGAAATATGCAATTCAAGTGCTTTTTCTCCAGTACATTTTCGCGGAAAACACGATGGAGTCTCTGGTTTTCTTTGGAACGAACTTTCTGGTTTAAAAAAGCTCTCAGGAGTTGAGGACGTAATGGAAGGGATCCGATTCCCCGTGTTACACTAAGAATCCACCTCCATATGGATCAAACAGATATGGATCTATATGGACGTTTTAAGTCTGCAACCATGTATCTCGTTTGCGGTATTGGAAAATCTCCACTTCTATTTTATTTTTTTAAGGAGAACAAATCGACATTATTCCTTGAAGTTTTTGCAGAATTTTCTTTGCACTGAGAAGAATAATCAAGCCAGTTTTCAAAAATTTCCGTTGAGTAGTTTTCTATTAAAAAAATAAATTATGATAAGAAGTCTGCAGCATCGCAAACCGAGATACGTGGTTGCGGACTTACACCGTCGATCTGGTTTTCTCCGGGGATTAAACGGCTACGGAACCGTTCCTTCCAGGGATCAAATACATGTGTGTTTTCAGCTAATTTTGATGCCACAAACAAAGTGGCAGCACCGCTCATGTAGTTTATTCCCATCAGTGCAAAGAGAGTTTAACTTAATATAAAGGTTAGCTTTCAACATGGCGTAGGGGATCCCCTCCTCTACGACTTCACCATTGAGAGCTTTTTTGAACTTTGAGAGGTAAGTTTCCAGAAAACCAGTGGCACTATCGTGTTTCTCGCGAAATTTTATGAAGGAGATGAGCTTGGATCGCAAATCTCAGACGGGGGCAAGAGCTCAATTTTAGTCGATATTAAATGCCGGTTTTTGGCAAACACACTCGCTGGAAGTATTGTAACCGCCATGTACAGAATAAGTGCTGAATAAATTACACTTTAGAACTGCTATTGCAAAGATAAGACTTGCAAAGATTTTACTGTAGTAAGTTTGATAAAATATGAAAAATTCGGATTTTCATTATGTACCTCCTTCTCGGTAGCAAGAGAAATCAATATGAAAAGACCCGTAGTATGACAAACTGCATGCGATCCGCTACTCTCTTAATTAACGTTTGCTCAATATTGCTCTCTTCACCAATCAAATGCGCATTAATAAAAATGTATTGTCCATTTTTCATGTACAATTTAGCGATTTCCACAAAGAAAGCCCTTTGAGTAGGCTTATCATTTGAACGTATTTATGCTACAAGATACTACGTTGCACGCAAATCTAATGCCTTTAATTCCTTTTAGCATAACTCGTACCTTTTTCTTTCATATCACCCTAGGCATGCACTCGTTTAATATATGTTATTTTTATTATTACTGAATGCGTATGTTTTCTGTTTTCTCTTTTCCCGCGTGCTATTGAATGCGAATGACCCATGGCCTCTGCATGAAACACTAATGCACTCTCTTACGTGATGTCATCCTTCTGCATGAACACTCAAAACAGGTCCGAAAATGGCCAACAGTCATAGTACTTTTCACTATATTTTGATTAATTGGTCAGCACTCAATGGGAAAGAACCATCCATTTCTTAGCTAAGGCTTTTCAGGCTCGCATCCACAGGAATCATGTGATTGCCCGACGAGCGGAGCGGCGCAGCGCCGCGCACCAGAAGTGGCATTGCCACCGGCAAAACCAAAACGCCTTCAAATATTCGTATATGCAAAACGGACATCCACTGAGTACGAATAGTTGCATTCAAGCGCCGTTGTCGTCGTCGTTGCATTCGCGTCTGTTATCCCGCTGTATGGCCATGTGACCGCAGAAATCAATTGGTGAAAATGAAGTTTTGATACAATAGACTTCTCAGAGTCCGTTTCGAGAATTTTATCCTCCAGTTTTCGTCAGATAGACTCTGTTAGTCACCATCTGTAAGACTTTTAGAAAGATGACCTTTTAGTACCTAATCACTTTGCGATCTTTCAGTAGTAGGTAATCACAGTATAATTGAGCGGATTTAAGCAAAGACAGCCTCATTACATCAGGCAGTGACGATTTTGCTAGTTGGTAGGCCTGTTTTACCCTCGTTTAAATTAATTAAAAATATCGATATTAGATGAGGCAAGCTGCTTTACCAATAATCGATTGTTTTGCATTTATTTAAAAGGAAGAAAAACACTAAAACAGTGATGTCACTTTTCAAGAATCGCCACCTCATCGCTTCATTTTCTCTCTTGTCTTACTTTTTAACGAAAACCAAGCAATATTCTGACGTGAAATTTTGTGAGAATATTCTTCAAACCCTTGGGGAAATTCTCAGGAAGTTTCACGGCGGTATGTTTCTCAGTTTTTTCGTGGATAAGGTAGCTAGATACAAACAAGAAAACCTGTTTTTTCATAACTCGTGAGCCAAATTCTAGAATCGATATAGCTCATCGGGAACCTGGGATTATGTATCTTCATCCTGTAGATTTTTACTTAATGTTCTCTTTTTTTTGTTTGCAGGCAAGAAACTCGATTTCGAGCCAAATTTCAAAGGACCACGCAAGCATCGCAGCTGCACAGACTTGTGCTGCCTATTAGTATTCGTTGCTTTTCTAGTCTCCTGGGGAGCCTTAGGTTTTTATGGTAAGAACTGCACTCTAAATACATTCTGACTATTTTTCTAGAACCGATGAGAAATTCCTTTAATGGAAAAAAGCACATGTAGATGCACAGGGGATACAAATTGTCAGATAACACGTACAACCAGTAATTTGAAATGCCTGTATAATGAATTACCGGACCGGGTTAAGCAGAAAGGAACCAAGCTACATCAGTCACTTCCAATTTTAACTGAGCAACCTTTCTCTTTACATGAATATGTTCGTGCGGATTTTCGTGCAAATTTCAGTTAATTTTCTGCCTAGCACAAAGCAAATTCCTTAAAATTTTCCGACAATTTTCCGGCGTCCGCTCAAACGTTCTCTCGTAAATAGGTAATGACTTTGCCTAGTAACATTTGGAAATAGCTGATGTGGCTTGGTTCCTTTCTGCTAGACGCGGTCCGATTTTGGAAGTTTTCCGTCTTTTTGGCAATTTTTCTTGGTCAATTGGAGCCAAAGTGTCTCTTTCTGATACATCATCAAACAAGCATACCTTTTTTCTGCTGCCACTAAAAGAGTGAAGGAAGGAAATCGAAAAAAAATGACTTAATCTGTGAATACCTGGACTTACTTGACGTTTTTTGATGGATTTAAATAAAATGTTGGTTTTTGTGGGCCAAAGGAGGGAATACAAAAGCATTGCTCTTTTTTCGTTTTTTTTTTTTTCTTTTTTAATCTTTGCCTCCTTCTCGATGTTTTATTTTAGTGCATATTTCTTTTAATTTCAGCTTTCAAGCATGGCGATATTACCCCATTGATTTTGCCATCAGACACAGCAGGCCGTGTTTGCGGGGTGGATCCAGAAGTTGTGAGCCGAAGAAAACTGTTCTTCTTTGATTTATCACAATGTGCCAAACCAAATGTTGTGTTCAAAGGATGTAAGACACCTCAGGTACTATTGATTTTTAAACCATAGTTCATTTTAAAGACCTTTTCAATCTTCTGATCACGAACTCAAAATTTCTTACAGAAATGAGGAAAAAATAAGTTGAAAACCCAGTAGAAATGATCCAAGAGAAAAGATTTTGCCAGGTGAACATGTGAAAGCTCTGCAACAATCCTAATATCTGCTCGTTAATTCGAAGAGTTCTCTCACCAACACTTAAAAAAATCCAATTTTTAGCGTTTCGTGTATTCCATGAACAGCCCGCTTAGTGGCAACAACTACAGTGCGTACTCCATAAATTAATATGCTTTTATTTTTTTATGCATGATAATGAAACTCCGAAATTTGTCTCGTTCAGGGCTGATTATTCACTGAGTAAAACTACTCTCTTTTCATTCCATTTTAGGTTTGTGTAGAACAATGCCCAAAAGAAAATTGGGCTGCGGATCCATACATCAATCAGCTCAAGCCTGCAAACTGGCCGACAATCCAGAAGCAGCTAATATGCACAAAGCCAGAGATTGCCAACTCGGTCAACAGCCTTAGCAAACTTAAGAGTGTAATCGATGAAAACTTATGTGCCAGATATTACATCAAAAGTCATTCCAGTAAGTTCTTCCATTATTTTTCCATATTTTCCTGATTACATGTTTGCTATTTGTGTAAAATACCAGTATAAAAATTATCCGAATCTCTTCTACCTATACAGTTGAATAAATTCCTAATTCTAAGCCAGAAGAAAAATATAGTTTTGCTACATTCTTCTCTGCATATCCTCAGAAGTACAGAGACTTCCTGACAATGCAACAGAAACAAACTTGGGTCATTCAGAATGGGGAAGTCTCTGTTGGAATACCTATGGAAAATTGAGGGAACCTTGTCTAATTTGTTTACCTTTTTTAAGTGTTTCCTATTAAGCGTTCTTTTGACCAAGTATTACCAAGTCCTCTGAATCTTTGTTTCAGTTGCCAAACGATGCATTCCTACCCTTAAAGATATTAAAAGTGCAAATGATTTCCTTAAGGAAAACAGAGTTAATTGGACGGATTTAACCGATGGAGCACAAGCCATTCAATACTATGAAAAAGCAAGAATCGTAAGTTGTCAACCTATTCCCAAAATTTTTAAATGAAGAGAACAGCTGCCTGAGTCATGAAATGGTGTTTTCAATACTTGCTCATATTTTTAGGGCATCTAAAATGCAATAAAATACAATAAAAACTTGAGGAATCATTTTAATTCCCTTTTAGCATTAACTCTGCTTTTTCATTCACGGACAAATCTTTTAGCCGACAGCCATGTTTGCCAAGCTCTTAAGTATTGAGCATGTACTTATAAATCACGAATAAATATAATAAATTCGTCAAACCAATAAAACATTCCATTATCTCCAGGAAAAGAGAGGCAGCCTTGTGCCCATCCTGCAGCTGCTTGTGTAGGTAGTCTTTACCCCAAGAGTTGACCATTCATGCAAGTTTTCGCTTGCCTCTCTTCGTTTATTCAGTCAACATGTTCCAACCACATTCTTTATCTGACGTCAGCCCATTTTGCAGAACTATGCACGACACAAGTATCTCTAGTTAAACTTGCTGGTCTGCCATTCCTAAAAAGTAAAACTCACTATTTTTTTAAAAAAATATTCATCTTGACTGTGCAAAATTGTTGTTTGGTCGCAGCTCTAACAACAATTTTTAGCACTAACATTATTCATAGTCTTCATATTCATATTGAACTGAGTTGCAATGCAGGGTCATTCCATATAGAACCTACCAGCCATGCAACCGCCCGACTCGGATTTTGATGATAAATTTTTTTCTTGATCAGACCACCAAATAATGAACTTCTGCAAAATATTAGGTCTCAAATCAAAAAACTCACTGAGATATGAATTTTGGAAGTTTTAAGAATTTTCAAGAAAGAGACCTTTCGAACTTCCGAGAAAGAGAGGGTCATTTTCCCCAAAAAAATTCATCCCGAGCCCATTTTTCGTCGGATTGAAGTGAAAATTTGACGCAATGTCCATGAAAGTATGTAAATTTGAGAATAAAATGCATAAAATGTTCGATTTCACTCATTGATGTGCTGCGGTTGATAGTTCGTTGTGATTTTGTCTGATTTTAGCGACAAAACCTTCCCCTCTTCAAATGCTCATAACTTTTGAGCTGCAAGTTATTTTTTGCTCCAATTTTTTTTAAAATGCTCCTAAGAGTATTAGGAAGACGCCTTAAAAACAATTCTGATGGCGTTTTGGGCTTTAGTATCTTTTTTGTTCACTTTTGTCCGAAAAAGGCCTAAAAAACTGGAAATAACACCAAAATTGTTCCGATAATCGACCATTACCCTGAAAAGTCAACTCAAAAATCGCTCAATTTTTGCCTGAATGGTCCTTACTGTGTGTACAATATGTTTGAAAAATAAAATCAATGGTATTTCGGGTTTATATATCTTTAACTTTGAGTTTTTTCCGAAAAAAGGCGAGCAAAACTGAAAAACACTGAAATTACACCAATTATCGGCTCTAACGTTGGAGTAGCAACTCAAAAATTGCTCACATTTATACTGAATGGTTCTCACTGCATGTGAAATGCGTCTGGGGAATAAAAGTGATGGTATGTTGGGTTTCCATAACCCTTTTCCCAACACTTTTACTCAAGAGAGGCTCGCTCAACTGAAAAAAGCGCTAGGAAAATCTCATTAACCGACCATTACATTGAAAAAACAATTGATTGGGGGCCCAGATTTTTCACCAAAAGACTCTTGTTGTATGAGAAGCACACTAACTTGAGGAGTGAATATAGTGTATTGTTGGTTGTAGTAGTTTTCCCCTTCACTCCAATCTTTACGATCGGCTTTAAAGTAAGGAAATAAAACTGTAGGTATCTCTTAACTTATAGGCATCTGTTATGGAATATGAGTATGTCACGGGTGATAGACTCAAATTCGGGTTGAAAGTTTGTGAGACTGTTCGGCACCAGTTGATTTTTAATAAAAGGTAGAATCAAAAAACTACTAGAATGGATTGAGAATTATAGATACTGAATTTTTGGAGATGAAATTTAGAGTTGTACTGAGTCAAAAGAGATAGCACAGAATCACAAGAGTTAAACAGTAAAGAAAATAGTCACTCAGAAAATGTGCAAGAAGGCGAGAGTGGGCACAAACGTACTTGTACGGGTCTAGATGGTAAAGAACCTGGGGTCTAAGAGATGAGAAAAGACAGACAGACCTAGGTTTTAGGGCAGCGCACGCTTATGTAGACTTGCTGAGGTCACGGGTGGTGAGACAACAAGCCTACACAAGATTGGTTGGCTATAATCTATGTAGTTATCAGCTGCAAGTTTAGTAATTAAAATGGGTGATTCTTGGTGATGGCTGGGAGATAGGGGTGAAGAAGACAAAAGTGGACGAAATCCAGCCATCACTAATGAGTGTTCTAAAATTAATAAGAAATATTCGAAAATGTAAGGCAAAAAGATGAGAAGGTGTTGACAGCATCCCTATTCACATTAAATGTGATTTACTGACTCCTGGATGGCATCATAATGAGGTTAATAACTTTCAAATGTATTCTGAAATAAAAATTAATGGAAAAGATAAAAAGTTCTAATAGAAATTATCAGAACATTAAATTGTTAAAAATTGAGGGAGGTTATTCATGCTGACTAGAGTTGAAGTATTGTAATTATAGTTTTGAAAAATTGAGTTACCTATTTATTTCCTCAACATCTCAAGCAAGGGTTTCACTCTTAAAGGGTGGGAAAAAATATGTACAAAAATCATGTATTTGGATATTTTGCGTTAAAAAAATAGAATTTTATCAATGAAGTACCTAACTGTAAGGTTTGCCCTTGATTCACTCAATTCAGAACTTAGTTGCTTTTTCAACTCAAAGCATTAAATTTACTTCAAAAAACTTTTGAATTTTCAGATCTATAAATTAGACTGTTGCTGATATAGATCACGATCTTGATTGCCCTGAATAATTACTCTAACCCAGAGTAAGTTAAAGTTATGCCAGAAATCTCAACAAATTCGTTGTTGCGTGTGTGCGTGATAGGCATTGGTTCTTTGGGCTTGTTCTATCCAAATCAGAGGAAGAAAACGACTTTGAGATTTAATTTATGTATATCCATCCGCGTCCGTGAATTAAAAAGTTTTTTGAAGTAAATTTAATGCTTCGAGTTGAAAAAGCAACTAAGTTCTGAATTGAGTAAATCAAGGGCAAACCTTACAGTTACTTTATTGATAACATTCTATTTTTTTATCGCAAAATATCTAAATACATGATTTTCGTACATATTTTTCCCCTCCCTTTAAGAGTGAATCCCTTGCTATATTCACTCCTCAAGTTAGTGTGCTTCCCATACAACAAGAGTCCTTTGGTGAAAAATCTGGGCCCCCAATCAATTGTTTTTTCAATGTAATGGTCGGTTAATGAGATTTTCCTAGCGCTTTTTTCAGTTGAGCGAGCCTCTCTTGAGTAAAAGTGTTGGGAAAAGGGTTATGGAAACCCAACATACCATCACTTTTATTCCCCAGACGCATTTCACATGCAGTGAGAACCATTCAGTATAAATGTGAGCAATTTTTGAGTTGCTACTCCAACGTTAGAGCCGATAATTGGTGTAATTTCAGTGTTTTTCAGTTTTGCTCGCCTTTTTTCGGAAAAAACTCAAAGTTAAAGATATATAAACCCGAAATACCATTGATTTTATTTTTCAAACATATTGTACACACAGTAAGGACCATTCAGGCAAAAATTGAGCGATTTTTGAGTTGACTTTTCAGGGTAATGGTCGATTATCGGAACAATTTTGGTGTTATTTCCAGTTTTTTAGGCCTTTTTCGGACAAAAGTGAAAAAAAAAGATACTAAAGCCCAAAACGCCATCAGAATTGTTTTTAAGGCGTCTTCCTAATACTCTTAGGAGCATTTTAAAAAAAATTGGAGCAAAAAATAACTTGCAGCTCAAAAGTTATGAGCATTTGAAGAGGGGAAGGTTTTGTCGCTAAAATCAGACAAAATCACAACGAGCTATCAACCGCAGCACATCAATGAGTGAAGTCGAACATTTTATGCATTTTATTCTCAAATTTACATACTTTCATGGACATTGCGTCAAATTTTCACTTCAATCCGACGAAAAATGGGCTCGGGATGAATTTTTTTGGGGAAAATGACCCTCTCTTTCTCGGAAGTTCGAAAGGTCTCTTTCTTGAAAATTCTTAAAACTTCCAAAATTCATATCTCAGTGAGTTTTTTGATTTGAGACCTAATATTTTGCAGAAGTTCATTATTTGGTGGTCTGATCAAGAAAAAAATTTATCATCAAAATCCGAGTCGGGCGGTTGCATGGCTGGTAGGTTCTATATGGAATGATCCAACAATGATACATAACTTACCTGCTTCTTATTTTGTTATCAAATTGCATTTGTTAATGGAGGCTCCTCCAAAATCAAAGCTAATTTTAAGGACACAACAGTCTAATAATTGGACTAAATTTTGCGTGAGGGAAATACTATCTCTGGCTAATTTTAGAAAATTCATTAATTTCTCTATGCAGATAAGTGCTTTTAGGGATGAAGTAGAAATAGTTGTTCCCAATTGCAAAATGTAGGTAGTCCATTATGACCTCTCCGTTTATTCTCAGAATCAAAACTAATCATTTGATGTTCAAATTTTTTCAGACTGCTGAAAAAGTTTTTGATGACTTGAAAATATCTGGAGCATACATCATTTATGGAGCCCTAGCTGCTTTAGTCATCAGTGTATTTTACATTATATTACTAAGATGGCTCTCTGGAATCATGATTTGGTTATCGCTTCTATCATTCATCGTTATCCTCTCTTTCAGTAAGTTACTTCTTCCTTCTCATATCATTTCTCAATGAGTAACCAAAAAAAAAACAACAACAACAATAAATGAAAATCAATCAATAAGTATCTAACTGTATCAAATTTTTCACTATTTCTTATCTTATTCTATGTTGACAAACTAGTTAATGCTTTTTTTCTTAGAAAATTTCTGAAATTCAGTGCAATTTTCCTCAAATCAGAATGATTTCAATCATCAATAATATATAATTTACAAAAAAAAAAGAAAAAAAAGAAAAAAAACGTCAACTCTTTCTTTTGATTTATAATTTTCTTATATTTTTTTAGGTGTTTTCCTGTGCTATGGAAAATATGTCGAGATTAAAAATAGCCCCAAGTCGGAATTCAGGCTTCCTCCATCTATTATTAATCGTTCGATTGAAGATTACATTGAAGCATTTAACAACAATGAAGACATTTGGTTCTGGGCTATGATTGTCATTGGAATTGCTCTGGTCATTACCTTCTCCCTAATCATTTGTCTGCGGAAGCGTATCAGAATAGCCATCGCTCTAATCAAGGAGGGAAGCAAGTGAGGAATCATTGTTAATTTGACCTATAATATAAAAAAAATATGCATGATAAACGATGAGGAATTGGTAAAAGAAATAAAAAATTTAGATGGAAACTTAAAAATACCAATTTTTATCAATGCTCTCGTGTAAAAAATGCCCAACCTTTTAAAAATACAGACATTGTTAAAAATGAAAACATTAATAATTCAGATCTAGCCATTCAGTTGAAATAAGTCCTACACAACGGACAAAAGCGTCCCAAAATGCATCAGTATTGTAATTTACAGTAATGTGTCCAAGCATTTTACATATTTAGTTTTTCAATTCTGTTTCGTTTATTATTCATCAGCTTACAGTTTTTTTATCGTGAATTTGTCCGATATGTATTTCTCTGATGATTTTCATATTTTACGACTTCTCTTGAACAACTTTGGTCTCTTTACATTACAAACAAAACAAGGAAGCAAGCTAAGTAACCTAGCAAAACCATGACAAGTTGAGATAGTTACAAACTCATTTTCAACCAGAGAAAAGAAATAAAAAATGAGTCGACAATTTTCTGCTATTGCAAGACCAATACTGATTATAAAGTAAACAAACCGGGCCTGGTGCAGCAAAATCTAGGCATGCAGTGACATAGACTCTCTGGTAAATTTAGTCCATACAGTCCCTCCACCAATTTGTTGAATACATAATCTGACCTACTTTTATTTTGATTCATAATTTTGAATTTTTACCTTTTTCAGAGCCATTGGATCCTCTCTTACATCACTGATATTCCCTCTGTTCCCATGGATTTTGGATATCCTAGTCATTTCTTGGGCTGCAGTTGTATTTTTCTATTTGTATTCACTTGGAAAATCTATATACAAAGTAGAAGGCCTCTCAAACAGCTCCGATTGTGTTTGCACAAATTCATACAAGGTATTTTTTTCTGTCTCCACCTGTTGTTTTACTCAATTACTATCCCCTAATCCCGCATTTTTCTTTTTTCATGCCTGAGGTAAGGAGCTGGAAATTTGTTTTATCAAAATTAACAGTGTCTGAAGAAGAGATGCAGGCTGATGAAAAATAGAAATACTGTAATAAAATTGAAAAGTAGAAAAATCTGTCGAATGATCGATGAAATAATGCAAATATAAATCTTTTGCCCAAGGTGATGTCATACAGATAGTAGAACTTCAATAACTAACTTACCTTTTGGTCTTTTACAATGTATCACGTCACCCTACTTTCCATCGATAGTTCCGTGGCTTTAGCTTTAATTTATGGTCTATCAATAATAAAATTTTGTGAATTCAGGTTGAATCAGCTGAATTTTGCAGGTTTTACGAAATGTACCTTTTTGACTCCAGTTTTATTTTTTTCTCCAAAACAGGATGGAGATTTGTGCACCTTGAACGAATGGAAACTCAACTGTCACAACAAGTTTTCTCCATCTACTCCATGTTTGGATGCCAAGTGCGCGTATTCTCCACGTGAGTCGGATAGATATATCGACTATCTGCATCTTTACAATTTATTCGGACTTTTGTGGGGCATGGCATTTGTCTCCGGATTTTCGCAAATGGTCTTGGCTGGAGTTTTTGCCACTTGGTATTGGACGCTACACAAACGGGATGTTCCATATTTTGTTATTTGTGGCTCATTGGCCAGGACAATCCGGTAAGATGTTGGAATACTTAATAGCGATAAGTTGAATATTTTTTTGTTAAGGTTCTAGAGGCAGAAATCTAGTGAAGGCAGATGTGTGATTGGTCGATTGTGTTGTACACATTATTCAGATCCAAAGTTTAATCTTTTTATCAAGCCAGATAATTTACTAGATAAGGCACCCAATTGCTTACTGATAACTGATTAAATATCTGGCCTAATAAAGAGCTCAAAGTATTTATTTCTATCATCTGTATGACACAAACGATCAATCCACTATCATAAAAATAGCGTTATTCCGCCTTAGTCTTGTCTGTTCTGAGAGATGAACATAAAATTCCAGCAGTTAGTCTGCAGTAATGCAGACAGGCGTACTGCGTAACATTGTAGTTTGACCTCCTACACAAGTTATGATTAAAAATTCGGTAGGCTAGATTCTCTCTCAGCTTCAAAATGAAAGCACAAGCTAAAAAATTCAACTGTAAAACGAGTCATCTTGAAGCGAAAAAATAAAAAATTTCGTTTAGTTATCGATGTAGTTAAGTTTTTCTCACTTGACCTGTTGTTTTACCAATTATTATTTTCCCTCCTCTTTCTGTGAAAAACCGATGCACTTAACAAAAGCATTAATGTCAGGTCTCATGACAAGTCCTCTCGTCAGTCCCCATTTCGAGAATTGCTATGACTAGCATAGGTATTCATCCTAGTATTGCAATCGGTTAGACTAAGTATAAAAAAAAAACTGTAATGAAGCTCACTTAATGCAGCATTTTCTCTCCTCTTTATTCTGATAGTCTTCTTACCCAATTTTTTTCATTCTCCACCAGGTATCACCTTGGGACAATTGCTTTTGGCTCTCTGCTCATAGCAATTTGTGGCTACATAAGAATTATGATTGAGTATATCCAGAAAACGTGCAAAAAGTATCAAGACAGTTCCATCGCCAAAGCAGTCATCTGGTGTTTCCGCTGCTTTTTCACGTTCTTGGATGCTGTTCTACGCTTTATCAGTCGAAATGCGTATATCATGTGTGCAATCCACGGCAGTAACTTCACTCGTTCAGCAAAGGATGCCTTTGGTCTTCTTAGTAGGAATGCAATCAGAGTTGTTGTTTTGGATCAGGTGAGTGCTAGCCAGCCGTAACCTTTTATACTGAACACTATTCAAATTTTGTATCCCAACATGTTGCATAATTTTCTTTATAGCAGGAATTTTCTGTCTTCAACATGAATAACCTTTCATAAAATTCCTCAAAACTTCCTGAGTGATTGTTACAAGTGCACATTGATGGATGGCCTATTTGCGAAACTATGTACCTCCGTCTATGATGTTGCAGATTGTTGTCATACTTTATCTTCTATTTGAAAACCAGTTAACATAATTTCTAGCGCATTTTCTTGATTTTTCTTTTCTGTTAGCCAAATATTCTATTTAAACTCTAAAATTAGCTCGCTTCTCTTTGAAAAAATAAAATAGTAGCAAAAATCTATATGAACATCGCAATGGAGGTACATAGTTTTGAACTGCACTTTAGCCATTGATACGCATGCATGATTCTACATTTTACAGGGAAATGAGTTGGCGTTTGATGTCCAATAGTTCCATGTAATATAGGAGGACCCTCTTCCCTCAACATGTTAAAGACCTTTTACATCTGGCCTCTCTTCTTGAATTTTTTTTATTTTTTTGTTTTAACAAAATGATTCGTCATTAACATTTACATATGGTTAAATTAATTTAGTACAATGAATAGAGGCTGTGATTGGAAATTTTTGCGAGTTATTTTTAATGTTTTGGAGACAAAGCTGGAGTTGATTTTGTTTCCTAACGTCATTGTTGGTGCAAAAAGTAGGAGTGATCAAACGAAATAACTAAATTTATTTTGAAAATGAAATGAAGTACAATTAACTTTCTTATTTTTTCAGGTTACATCTCTGCTTTTCTTCATCGGAAAAGTTGTCATCACAGGAATAATGGTTGGCATCATGTACTACTTCCTTATGATCCGTCCAAATGATGTCATGACTTCATTGAATTACCCTGGAGTCCCGATCATTTTCGTTGCCATCTTCTCGTTCCTTATTGCCTCCATGTTTTTCAAGGTCTACACGATGGCTATCGAAACTTTGTTCCTATGTTTTTGTAAGTATAAGATTGTTTACTGTTCTTCTAATTTTTAACTTACATCCTCCCTCATCAAGGTCTTACATTGATAGATTTCATGCTATAAAAATTAAAAACGTATGTATTTGAATTAGTTCCTTGAGTTCAAAACAACTTCTCTCCACTAATAATTATTCAGTACGTACTGCTGCACACCATCAAATTTTGAAGTTTTTGCATGGTTATCAAAATCGCTACTTTTAAACTTATCTAAAAGTAGTAATCAAAATTTATGTAATTAAAGTGTAGCTTGTATGATCAAATTGTACGATCATTACTGAATCACTTTAGAAGACTACAATAATGTCGCATTAATCACCCTTGTCCACAACAATAATCATATGAGGCTTCCTTAGGAGGTGCTGTTTAAGGAACAATCATGCATGCAGCCTTCATGCTTTGAAATCTGTTATCTATCAAATTAGCTTTGAAAGCCTATCTACACATTTCCAGACTCAAAATTTGCTTGTGTCATTTTTTTAATTCTTAAAAATTGGAAAGGTTTGTCTCATCAAAGATTTTGTTTTTGTTCTACTTTCAGGTGAAGATTCTGAAAGAAATGATGGAACAGCAAACCGTCCGTATTACATGTCAAAGTCACTCAGGAAAATTCTGCATCGGCATAATGAACCTAGTGTAGCATGATTGCTCCAATGCATTCCTTTCACTATTTGTTAATTATCATACTTTTAAATCACATTTTTTCTGCTAAGTAGTTATTTTTGTTAATGTTTTCTCCTCTAATTAAGCATGTGGTTCCTCCGTATCAGTTCTCCCTCTCCTTCTTAGTTGACTCTTAGAAGCATTTCGACTATGAAACTGCAAAAACACATATTTGGGTTTAATGCATTACAGACCACCCGTCATACTTGACTTTCTTAGTAAGAAATCAAACGTCATTTTTTTAAAAGTTGGGTGAAGATACGTATTTTTGCAGTTTCATCATCGATCCGTTACCTATGATGAAAACAAGTGGCTGTCTTTTAAAGTTAAATATTCATATTGTAAATATTATAGATTCATCTCATGTGTTTAAGTAATTTCTCTCTTTAAAACTATTGAATGTACCTTTTTTAAAAAAAAATCAACCATTCATTTTAAATTTTATGACACGAGTTTTTGCTGAATTTTCTTGATGAAAATATACTAAGAGTCAAAACTTTTTCAGTGGTCCCCTCAGTAGAATTTCTGTCAGAGCGCTCAATAGAACCCTTTTTATGATTAGATTTTGAATGTCAGGGAAAGATTTCCTCTCATCACAACAAGATACCAAACTTTCAATAGTTTCTTCCTTTAATTTCGTTCCTCTGAATCATTATTTTCCTCGTATTCTCTTTCTTCTCTCTAATTTTAGTCAGGAACACTTTAAATCCCTCTTATTTTTCCCTATTCAAAGTGAAAATATTGCCCTATAAAAAATTTAGGATACCATTTAAGTTTACGGAACATTTTATTATCATTAGATTTTTATTCAGAAATAGCAATTATTATAATTGTATGAGCTGTTATCATGAAGTGCCTTATTTAATGTGTACCACTTTGTAACAAATTTGAAGCTATAATCCACATTATTCTCCATCTTATGTGGACAAGTGTGCTTTTTTAAAATATTTGTCTGTCAAATAATTATGCAAGACTGATAACCCTTTATTATTATCCTTGTCGATTTTATTGAGATGTTAATTTTCTACTTTTACTAAGTTGTTGATTCATTTTTGCCTATCAACTTTTTCAATCCTTGCATTATTTTAAATCTGAAATTTCGCTCTTCTTCAGCCAAGGTGTTTTATGGAAGTGAGGAGTCCTTATTTTTCCCTGAATTATACTGCCAAGCACTGAAATGCAAGTATCTGTCAGATAAGATTGTCTTTAAAAATTTGTCAAAGTTTAGGGAGAGCCAGTAATATGGAAGGAGTGCAGTATTTTTTATAAATTATTGTATCCTCCCTAAAAAGAAGAAGAAAAAATTTATAAGTGTCATTTTCTTCTTTCCAAGAAAAATATATTTTAATTCATCCATATTGATTTAGTGCAAGTATTATTTTTGTGATATTTTACTTCCATTTTGTCTGACAAACAGGCTCCCCTCGTTTTATCATCACTTGTTATGTTTATTGGTTTTAACTTTGCAGAAACGTTAAATTGAAGTTGACTTTTTAATATTTTATGCCTAGGATGAGATTGAAATACAGTGATTCAAATGTAGGTCTCAAAAGACTTTAGCTGGATGTTCTTGGCATGGCCAAACTAGCATGTAATAAATCGCTTTAACATATGTATCGGTGCAATATGTAAGCCAAAAACTTGACAGATTTCAACTTCTTAGCCCAAAAAGTTATGGCATTCTTTGCGTAGGAAACCAAAGAATCATTTTCAACTAGAAAAAAGCTTGCAACTTTTTTTAAAGCTAAATCTTGTTTCCATCATTGTATAATTTGCAATTTCTTCTGTTTGATCATATTCTTTCGGCTGATGCGTAGCAACTATTGTCCTTTTTTTTCGATGAAAATTCAATATTTGCCAAAATATTTGCTTCTTCAATGCAATATAGTGCTAGCCAGTTTGACCATGACAAGACCTCGGTATGAATCACCTTAAAGTTGGATGCTTATATTACCCACAAAGTATCTTGCCTGTCTTGTGAATATTGTTTTTTTCATATTTGAGGTAGAAAGTTGCTAATTTTTTAAAATTTAATAGTCATATGTTGAAACATCAGAATCTTAAGAATATAAACTTCAGGAATTAAAAAAAAATGAAATGAGAAAATTATTTATATTTTGGGCCCAACTTCAGCACGCAGTTAAAAAAGCCCAACTTGCTTGTCTCTCTGCTTCAATTCAATGGCAACATTGAGATAAATCAATTCTTCTCAAATTTAACCACCTACTGAGCATTTTTATTTTTTGTCATAGGAAATTTCTGATACATAACATGGTCAGTTCTTGGAGCTTACCAAATTTTGATTGTTTTGTGCTTAACAAGCTACCTACATTGTTTCATTGTAACTTTAACTGTAACTGTTGCAGCATTTACCCTCTCCTTTTTGTATCATATCATTAAATTTCATAAATTTTTTTTATATTTGTATCACATAATTGTTTATCTTCCATCCTTGTCAATCCTTCCAGCACGGAAAAAAAGTATTTAATTTTTAAGTACCTACTACAGGCTTTACTTCATGATATCTACTAATTTAAAACATCAAGTACAGGGATATTTAAAGGTTTTCTTTACTGCTGATCGCAAATCTAGATTCCTCAAGTTACAAATTATCGATGGCAAAAGAGTGGAACCAAGCATCTCCGTTCGCAATGTTGCAAACTTCCTGTCATACTTTATTTTTTCTCTCGAAAACTAGTCGATGTAATTCAAATCTTAAAAACTGCCTTACTTTTTCTTCTCTGTTAACAAAATATTCTGTTTAAAGTTCAAGCTCTGAAGTTGGCTTGTTCCTTTTTGATAAAATGAATCAGGAGTGAAAATTCTGAAACATCACAGTGGAGGTTCGTGGTTTTGCACATTGGCCATTGATTTGCATTTTCACCGACATTTTAAGATTTGAGCCTTACCATCCATCCTAAAAGATAATTGGTCGGAATTAAAACTACAAATTTATCAACAAATAATCTATTTTCCTAAAAACTGGTAATCTTTCTAACAATATAAAAGTCTTAATTTTCTATGGATAGGTGTGCCATAAAATGTACAAAGAACAATAAATACTTAAAAAATAAATAGGTACAGTTAGGTTTAGGTCCACTGTACAGTCTGCGTCATTAAAAATTGCAAAACCCAGAGTGAATAAATACTCTCTCGCTTAAGATGAATCAGTGATGTTGAGCACTTGTTTCAATTCATATATTTGATCAAAATCAGCCTTTGACTTTCCACAAGTCCTTGCGAAGTTTCATGAACAGGTAGATGAACACGAGGAATATCACATTCCATATCATTGCACTGACAAAACCTTTGAATATTTCAGGGGCGAAAATGTTGGAATACCTCATGGTGATAGCTCGGAATGAGATAATTGGTTGAGTCAGAGGAACTAATCGGTTAAAAAGTTGAATGCTGTAGTGGGCTCCTTCCAGGGCCCAAAAGAATCCTGTAAAATAAAACGCATATTTGGTGAAAAATGAAAATGCTCAAGGCCTTAAAAAAGAAGTCCAATTAGGTACAGATGTTTCAATCAGGCCTGCCCAATTAAAAATGCAATAGGCAAATTCTTATATGATTTACCGTCGGTTGTTCTCTTTATTTTTCTTCCTCTCTTGTTATCTCATGTTTCCTGAAATGAGACAAATATCCCTTCACTGATCCAAATTCTAGAATGCTTCAACGCCGGCCATTTTACGAGGGTTTGTTCATTTCGCGCCGCACAACCACCCAACCCGTGAGTGGGATCATGCTAATTGAGTGATCACTCGAAGCCTGAAAGTCTGCATTGAAAGTCTCACTTGAAAATAATTTTGAGTTTGTTCTACCTACTCTAAGATGAACTTACCACAAATTAACATGAGTAAGAAGTTGCTTCCAATGCCAGCGAATCCAGCAGCAGTCAGATTTTTTGAAGTAATCGACAATATTATTCCTGAAATCAAACCGAAACCTCTAATCAAAATATACCTAAGTAAGTCAACAAAATTCTCTACGATATATAAAATTGAACATACATAAATGCTCTGAAGTTCCGATGGTTGAATTCGGATAATGTGGGGTCGCTGAGTCGAAAATGACGTCTTTTTATGGACGGTGCCGGGTATCTACTCAAAAGCGCAAATCCAAGCACACATCTGAAAATTGATAGGTAAATGCGCAGGTAGCCCATCAGCGCAAAAGGAGTGTCGAGACTCATCCGAAACATGCAAGTACCTAAATAAACCAAAATTTAAAAGGAAACATGCGCATAATTTGGACTGCATATTGCAATTTGGAACTATAAATTCTGGCTCATCTGAGAAAACATTTATGTGCATAGGGAAACTATGGCACATCCGTTGTTTTTAAACTGGGCCAGAATTTATAGTTTCAAATTGCAAATGCAGTCCATTTTATCAACGTCTTAACTGGAAAATTATGCATGGAATTTCCCTGGTAAAAATTGGCGATAGGAGCTGCGTTTCGAAATACCGTAGGAGTTCTTATAGCCGACTAAAGAAGGCTATTGAAAATCATAGCTGGCTGTAGAAAGCGGAGCAAATCATATAGCCGGGCTATACGAAGCTATAAGAAAGTATACAGTCGGGCTATAGTTCCTATCGCCGGGCTTTACACTTTATCGTCATTAGCTGTAAAAGGCTATACGAAATTGTGTAGAAATTCGTGTGCTTTGGAAATCATTAAGTTTGATACGGAACTACCTTGGTATTTACAAAACACACATTAGGTATATTTTCCTTTAACACATATTTTTTTTCATCAATTAAAATGAGAATTATCCATACAGAGTGTGCAAACATTTCAAAATCATGAGTTGAAAATCGCTGACTCCGCAAGATTAAATATCGACGGTGAAACTACCAAACCACGTATCTCGTTTGCGGTGTTTAAAAATCTACGCTCACATTTTATTTTTTTGAAGTAGACCAAATCAATATCATTCCTTGAAATTTTCACAGAATTTTCTCCGCACTAAGAGGAAAAATCACAGAAATTTTCAAGACTAGACGCTTAGTAGTTTTTCATTTAAAAAATAAAGTATGACAGGAAGTCTGCGACGTCGCAAACCGAGATACGTGGTTTGGTAGTTTCACCGTCGATATTAAGCCTAACACAAAGCGGAGCGGCGACGCACTGGCGCCTACAAACCTAACAGGGATACTTCACGCATTGCGCAATGCGTGAAGTATCCCTGTTAGGTTTGTAGGCGCCAATGCGCGTTTCGTGCTCTCTGCCCGCCCGCCGCGCCGCAACGTGCCACGGCGTCTGAAACAACTATTTCACACCAGAGGTATTGCACAGTATCATAAGAAATTGAAAGCGCGCCAACATATTAAGAATGACAGGCATCCTTCAAAAGTACGGAACATTCCTCGCAAAATAAATCAAGTTACTACGGCACAAAAAGAGAGCGATGGTCCAAAAACTAACTAAGTCTTAGTATCCGTATTTAGTAACGTTTAGCATAAACTTTATCGTCTGGCTGTTGCTTAGTCGCCATCGGCTATAAAAGGCTAAAAGAAATTGTACAGCTGGCTACAGAAGCTATTGAAAATCTTACAGCCGAGCCGGCCTTATGGTATTTTGGAACACAGATTCTACCGCCAATCTTTACCAGGGTTTAGGCTGGTCTCGAGGATTTTCCTAGGAAAATTTCGCACCTAGACGTCAGAATAATTTTTTTTCAAAACAGGGGAAAATCCAAACAAAGGATGACTTGGTACAGTAGATTAAAAGGAATCTCCACAAATCTTACACGGATACTTATTTTTTTTTTTTAGTTGTTTTATTTTGAGGATCGGCAACAGTTTAATATATTCAAACAATTAATACGTTTTTCAAAAAATTAAAAATTTCGAAATAAAAAGCAGTAATAACTTTACTTCATCGGCACAATAGCGACGCTGGAATTAGACGAGCACGGCACCCTCGATATCGCATGCAACAATCATTGAGCGCATTTTATTTCAACGCCTGGATGCAACTATTCGAACGCCACGGATGTCCGTATTGCATATGCTCGTAAGTGAAGGCGTTTTGAATTTGCAGGCTTTTTTTGAGGCTCCAGTCAGCTCCAGTTTTCTTTGTCTCCTTTTTATGAATTTTAAGGGCAATCAGTTGCTCAAATCATCGTTTGTGCTCATGAAAATTTGCGCTTTTTGAATTTCACCCCACTTTTTTCAGACTTGGCATCCCAAAATTAATAAATCTCGGCCTTTAGAAATTGAAAAATTTGTCTCTGTTTTTTCCTTTTTGTTCTCCTTCGTTGTTTTGTCGATCAGTGTAATTTCTCATTTCATTGTGAAACCAAATAATCAAAATAATCCTTCACTTGCCAAGAATCCACTTGTTAAGATGTAAATGATGAATTAATCGCCTAGCTTGCCACATTGAATAATGAAGGTTTCCTTACATTCGAAAAATGTTACAAAATCGTAGAATGCTTATCAGATTTCTCTATTGGAAATGAGAAAAAGACGTTTTTATGACATTCAGAACTGTAGGATCTTACCTTATGCAAATTTTTTTTCTTCTTCTTTTTACATGGCGTCAAGTGCTGATACAGAAATGAAATTCTCTACCTTCAAATAACTTCGTACGACAATTACGTCGCACGAATCATTTGTTTTTTGTCGATTTCTTTGTGGTTTTTTTTTTTTTTTTTTTTTTTTTTTTTTTTTTCTACGCGCGTCTTCTTGTGGATATCATGGTATCCATTCATATTTAGGTGTACAAAAGTTTCATCAGACTGTAAAAATGCACATCGCCAAAAAAAAAAAAAATAAGAATAAACCATCGTCTACTTACCAAACAACATTCCTTGACTTCCTACTACAACGAGCAATGCAAATGCCAGGGTGGGGTCACCTTTAAACGGCTGACCAAAAACAAAGAATATGATGGCCAATAATTCCACGATTTGTATGACCAAAATGGTCATTTGAACTATTACGTGGGACAACGCAACCTCCAGAAAAGTAATACCTGAAAAATGAAATAAGATGAATTTCATGAAAATCCATATTTCCGATGAAATTATTAAAAACTAATATGAATTCATCTTAATAGGTAAACTAATGTCAAACTCAGAGTTTTCTATCGATATATTCAGGCCAACAAACCGAAAGCTCTTAAATTTATTGATGTCAGTTAGATGCCTATTTGAAACTTTTCGAGCCTGGATCAGGCCAACTGATTCGAAAGCAAGCGGCATATTTGGACTGCATTTTGCAATTAGTACCTATAAATTCCGACCCAGTTTAAAAACAACGTATGTGCCATTAGTTTCCCTATGCACATGAGTGTTTTTTTAGATGAGCCAGAATTTATAGGTCCAAATTGCAAAATGCAGTCCATTTTAGTAAAGCAAAATCATTTATCAGCTTACCTGAGCTCATGACTCGCTCCATCACCCCACTCTCTTTTTCTTCACCGATGATTCCAGTCGTAAAAACTGTGGGTAGATAAAACACGGCTCTGAAATAATAAAACAAAAAATAATCATGTTCAAATCGACAAAAATAAATTAAAATGCAAACTCCCCCAAACCTTCATAAAATTCCGTATAGCAGCCAGGCAACAAACCAGCAGGTATGATTCGATTTCAAAATTGCAAAACGAACTTTAAGATATGCGTACATAAAACGTGGTCAAATGCGTAGATTTTTTGCTCTTGGTTTTAATAAAGTGTTGGCAATCAGCGATCGCCGTTGATTTGAAACCATTGTGATGAACAGAGAAACGAGTGTGGTGAAGTCTGTGATCTTAGTTGCGTTTGATCTGAATGAACAACTAAATTAACTGAGAGGCAACGCGTAAAGTATCAAGGATAAATGCAGGCGCTCCAAGTCGAATCGTGCCAAGAATAAAACCTGCGAATGAAATATTGTGATTTGCAAGTATGAGACGCATCATACAGCTTGCAAATTGCCTGCAGTTCATAATTAGGTACCTTTGTTGAACATGTATTTTTAGCTTTCTTACTTACAACTTTTTCATTCCAAATTTTCATCGATCAATTATTAGGGATTATTTTTCCTAGTTCTATGTCTGATACCTCATAAGTGCAGTTTTGCGTGATTTATCGTGTTCCTGTACGCTACTGCGATAATTTTTATTTTTTTTTTTACAAGCATTCCCTGTTTCATTATTTTTAAACTCTAACCGTGTCCAGGAATATCCAAAGATCACTTAATCAATGAGCTCTTGAAAGTACTTCACTACACACTACTTGTTTTTCGGAATATCGTTTGCGGAATGAAATTTATTTCTCTTTCATTTTTTACTTATCTATACGGCGTTTAGAATGATGAATTTGTCCTGGTATTTACATATTAAAATACTTACATTATTACTAAACCTGGCGTACAGAACGTCGAGAAATCATAATCGTAACTTCCGAAAACCGGTCGTTCCATCTGAATAAGGAGAAAGGAAAAAATGAAGAATTTTAGCGGACACTTGAACAAAATCGATCAACTTGCTTTAGTTGAAAAGTTAAGTCGAACGATGAAATGAGAAAAAAAATATAAAAGTCTGCAAATATCCTGATGAATATCAGTCCAAAATTGAATCAGTGAGTTCGAAAACACACCAACTCGAGTTTTTTCGATTTTCAATTTTTTACGGCTTGGTAACACTTTGGATAGAAGCATCTGCACGCAAAAGGAAATTTCGAAAGTTCAATCGGAAATGCTCGAAACAGCCACGGGAAAAGGGAAAAATAGAAGTATTTCATTGTAAATACCAATTTTTGGCCATTTCAAGGGAAACGGGTGACTATCCGATTTTGCGGTTTTCTTTTTTCGGTTCAGTATACCTTGTACCAACAAGTTAGATAAATATTCAAGCGTTATGCAGGTCGAGAAATATAAAATTTTTCAGGGCAGACTATGAAAAATCAGTATCTGAAAGTCAGTGAGAACGAAAACACAAAGACAAAATGTAACGAACGAAAAAATTATGAAAGAACAAACATAGATGTGGTTAAACATTTTAACTTCCACTGCCGCGCCGACCGCACTGTGTTGGCGCAATGCGTGAAGTATTCATACAGTCTTGTAGGCGCTATGCGTTTCACGCCGACCGCTGCTGACCACACTGTTTGGCGCGATGCGTGAAGTATTCATGCAGTTTTGTAGGCGCTATGCGTTTCCAGCCGACTGCTGCTGACCGCACTGTGTTTGACGCAATGTGTGAAGTATTCATGCAGTCTTGTAGGCGCCATGCGCTTTATACTGACCGCCGCGCCGCTCGCTCCGTTCCAGGTCAAATTGCGTGTTTGGTTTCTCTCTTAACTCGACTAATTGAAGGTGTTGTCTCTTGTTTCACCGAGAGACGACAAAATTAGAAATTACTCTACTTTTAATCTGAGGAAATGAGAGATTTTGTCGTCTTTTCTCGTTTGTAATTTATTTTCTGAATCCGATTTTTTCTCTCTTTTTTGATACCTACATTCAAAAAGATTGCAAAATTTGCCGCCCCCTACATTTTGCCGCCATGGGCTGCAGCCCATGTGGCCACCCCCTTAATCCGGCCCTGTCTGCAACGTATAAAATCAATACTGACGATTTACTAATGTTTTTAATAGATTTTAGCGAAATTGGTGTGATAAAGTATTGAAGTACGTGTCCCGGCTTCCTAAATCTAAAACTCACCGTGATAGGTAGCCTCAGTGACTCAGCCGCAGTCTCAGATTCGTTTGCGCAGGGTTTCAATATTTTCTTGAAAGCCGCCTTGATTCCGTTATAGAAATCTCGCTGCATCTGATAGAGAACATGTAAATCTACAAGAAAATATCGAAAAAATAATGGTTATGAAACATCGTTACGGAAACGTTTTTTGGTATTTGTTCGTTTAGAATGGTTAAAATCAACAAGATTTATTATTCTGAAGCCAAGTTTTTGCGCCAGATACCATCATGAAATTGGATAACATAACTGAAACTATAAAACGCTAAACTAACTATAAAAAACTGATGCGGAATATTTTGTGCAAAAACAACAGAGGAGAGGGTGCGTTACTGTTTGTTACGAAGTAACATGAATTTACCGACAAGAAATTTCTTCTTCAATCAAGAATGCTTTTTCTGAAGCAGGTCTCTGTTGGATATAACAAAGAACTTTACTCTGGGTGCTTAAGCATCGTTTCTACTTGATTGACGAAACCTCTTGGATTCAAATTCAAGAAGATTTCTGCTTTAATTAAGTCATTTTTTTTCTGCAAAGTGTGTCCAAACGGAGAATCCCAACAGCAAACTGACTTCTTCTGTGAAAATGCGTTCACATAATACAGACGCACGAGACGATATTCCAACATTAGATACACAGAGTTTGCAATCGGATCTTTAATTTGATCCTGAATCCTGTGCTCCTTTTTATATTTTTATTATTCATAAAAATCAACCCTTAAAAATAATAAACGCATTTACTCAAAAGAGGCTATACCTAAATATCCAACTTCCGAAGTAGATTGGCTTATATTCCGTCAATGCGTGCAAACATTTTTCGCCAAACAGTGAATTTATTAAGTTTAAAAGGTTTTACAATTGGAAACCTCAAGGCATATTTAAAAATGTTACATGGATCTAAGACAAAATATAAACTCACTAGAGCTGTCCAGCCATAGATCGGCAAAACTCTGCTCGATCGCCAAGTTCGATGCGTCTTTTTGGAGTTTGACTCTTTCTTGCACAGCTTCCGTGTAGTTCGAGCCGAAATGAATCAATCCGTATGTTTTTCCGGTTCGATAGTCCAGAATCGCGTTGTCTAAATTTGAATATTCGTGCTGCGAAAAAAAAAACATTGATATTTCAATTTTTGGGGACCTATGATAGGTGTTATATTTCAAATTTCGCATCTTAGTCGGGAAAGAAGTTGCAGCGGTTGTGAATTGAACTATGACGCTTGAATAGACGATATTAGCAGATCCCTCTCGGTTTTGAGATTGTTCTCTCCTGTTTTTCTAGCTATTTAACTCTACTAACATCCCCATGTAAAGACACCTGTAGCGCACTTTTAAAGGACCCATTAAATTTGTATCTTTCTACTCCCAATCCTAAGTAACACAGTGCAACGAAAATATTGAAATTAAATTGCAATTTTATTTCAATAAAATTGTAGTTTTTTCCATTCAATTGCAATATTTTCACATACTTTAGTCGATTTATGCCGATTTTAAACAATCAACAAAATGAGCTCCATATGTCAGAAAGATAGGCAATAGGTACCTATGCAATGCAATGAAAAATTGCAACTTGTTTCAATTTTATTGCATAAGTTTCAAGATATGGGGCCCCTTCAAATAGGAGCTAGGCAACATACACAACACTCAGTGGAATTGAAATATTTTTACAATGTAATTGCTACTTATTGCAATCTGTGCTATTTAAGAGGATGAAAGGAATCGGGGGAGGAACGGAAGAAGAGAGAGGAGGAAGAGGTAAGAAAGGGAAGGTTGGAAGGAGGGGAGGAAGATGGGATAATGAAAACGGAGAGAGAGAGAGAGAAAGAATGAAAAATGGAAAATTTTAGCAAAAATCAAAGGTCGATCATGCAGCTGTCTTACAGTGACGCATTATTAAATGTCGTCAAGTGCAGGTACTTCATTCCACATACTAGATAAATAGGCTCAATCTTTCACTGACCATATTTAGAGAATTTCCAGTTTAATTTAATATCTTTTTCAAAACATTTATTTTTCTCGTGATCGAAGATTCTAGGGCGTGTATTCGTGATTTCGAGTCAGACAGGTTTTGCTCGTTCTATAAAAGAAAACTTGACTCAGAACAAATTTGAATCTATGGTATAACAAAAATTGGGTTTTGACATTCAGTGTTTACCTTGTGATTCTCACGCCCTAAACTCGAAATAATATTCTCTTAAAAAATTATGCTCAGCACGTACATGTCCTGGACCCCTCGATTTAATTTTTTATTAAAATTCCAATTAAATGTTGAAAAATAAAGGCGAAAATCCATTTTGTGCCCTGAAATCCTAATTGGATGAGTGGATTTTTGAACTAGCTTTATTTAGTTAATTTTTCATTCTTGTGTCAAGGTGTGATACCTATCTACTGCATGGTTCAATCAACGCAACGCTCTACATTTCAAAAATTCTCTACTCTGTATCATCGAGAGTCATTTCAGCGTCAATTAGGGGCCGTCCATAAATTACGTGTCGCAATTTTTTCAATTTTTCTACACTCGCCTTTCCTTTGTAACGCGATCGTAATGCTGGTCCAGGCACCCTCAAAATACTAATTACGAAACATTTGCCCTAACACTCCCACTTTTCACTATAAAAAATTCGAGAAAAATTTTCTCTCTGAAAACGGGGGGAGGGATAAGAATGCATGTATTAATTGAAGGGCTCTGTATTTTAAGAAACGAGAAAGTATGAGGCAAAAACTAATAAATAAAACTAGAAAAAAGTTGAAATCCAGTATGTGCGTACTGTTACATAAGCTGAGCTTCACACCCTTTCATCCCCTGTCACGTTTGGTCACAAAATTATGGAGACCCACCAACCCCCTAGAGTGTTATGTAATTTTTGAACAGCCTCTCATCCTGATATTTGACATGAAGCAATCCACAACAGGTGCATCATGCATTCGCTAAAATGATTTTTATTCAAATTTTAAACGTTAAAACAAGTATTTTTAAGCGTTTGAACTCGCTCTGCATCATTACTTTTAATCGTCTCTTTTTCGTGGGACAGAAGTAAGCGGAAAAATACGCACCAATCTGTAGTCTCGTCCTTGTATTTCTTTGATGAACGCACAGCTGATGGTGATATTGTCTTCAAATATACACCGGTCTGTAGGATACACCTTCGGGCAATTGATTAAACTATTGTCAAGCTCACTGTTGACCACGCCAAAAGCCAAATGTCGTGGGTCGTGACCAACGGCTAACGAGAAAAATACGCTCACAATAATTGGTAACATGAAAGTAAAAAGTAACATTCTGAAACAAAAAAGGAAAAATAATCTGTAATGATCAACCTTAGACCATACATACCCATAGCTTTTTTTTATGGAGATTGCGTTCTGGCCATTTTTAGGGTGTCTCACTAGAGTCTCAGCGCACTTTTCTAAAATTAATAGGTATAAGATATGGTCTTACTTTTACAAACAAACAAATCAAGAAACAAAAAATGGAGCAAATTTCATATTTTTGGAACATTAACCTTTTCATCCTTTAAGTGCAAAATTTCTGTTTTTTTAAAAAGTATCTTCATCCTGTAGAATTCAAATTTACTGATTAGTATCCGTAACTAAATCATAGAACCATTTTAATAATGAAATACGTAAATCTGACGCCGGTAACGAAACGTCTTCTAATTCTCTCTTTTGGTTTCTCTGTGTTTTTTTGGACCGCTATACATGTTAACGAGAAACTAGTTAAATGTAATTAATTATACTCTAATTGAGAGCGATAACGCCTAATGGAGGTAATCAAATAATGTTGCTGCTGGTGTGGTAAATAAAAAAGCGTTACTGCGGGCTACCGTTCACCGTAGCTGATACGATGTAGTCACATCTTTGCTGCCGTTTTGAGGAAAAACGCCCTATGAACATTCGAACGCTGCCAAATTTTCCTCAATAAAATGTATGTTTTCAAGTAATGTTAAGAATATTTTTCCTAAAAATTTTCAGATAATTCAGATGAATTTCGAGTGAAGTTCTCTAAGAAATTATATAAAAATTATTGACAAGTTTCTTACCACAAAATTCGTATTTTACGGAAAGAATTTTGGCAACGTCTGAAAGCTCATGCGGCGTTTTTATTTAGCACGGCAGTATGCCTGAGGCTTATTATTATTCAAATTCCTAGTCGGAGAAACACATTCGAGTCACTTTTTTAATCCAAAATCCACAAGATCATAGCGTAGGACCCTTTGAAGTGGAGGACAAAATGAGGAAGTTAGACAAAGACATTTTGTCTATTCACATTTTATTAGAAGCTTCTTTGTGCTCAGAATTCATAATATCAGGATCAAGTATTTTAATTATGCATTTTCTTTCAAACTTACGGTATATTCCTCATCAGCAAGTAGATATTCTTTAAAAATTGTGCCTTAAACCTAGATGTATTAAAATTACTATTGTTTTGTAGTGGCATGGTTGGTTTTGCAGCTCCTCGGGAGAAAAAACTAGAATCCTGAAAAGAAAAGAAAGAAATATTGAAAATAGCCTCAAAAACTCTGCTGGATCTTGTTTTTTCTCGTAATTTCCCACATTTGCATATCCACAATGCGCAAAAATTTATCAAAGCAAAAATAGGTGTTAAACTTTTCGAAGCAAACGGACTCTATATTGGGAGAGTGTGTCTGTCTGTTTAAGTAAATTTTTGTCTTTTATAATCAACTAGAGGTTTCTTCCTTAATTTTTCGTCTAAATAGAGTGGTTTTGCGCACTGCATAAGTTCTAAGAATTTCATTCCACTACAGATGTTAGTCTGTATGCAGATAAAAGAAAACCTCTAAATGTCGAATGGAGATTTTTCGACTCGTGTCTATCCTGGAAGAAAATCTCAACCATTCTCATCTGATTTCGTATGCGTTCGTGTGTCTTACACACGTTATCAGTCCTAAACTACAACTTACAAGTGATATTTTTTTATTTATTTTTTTTAACTCTCTGCACAAATAGACATATTGCTCAAACATTCACAATTAATGCACATTTTGATGATAGATTTAAATAGTTGACGAAGGCTTTTTTCACTGTGAAGTCCTTACGAGTCGAAGTTGACTTCATTGAAAGAATGAATAATGAGACAGCCACAATCCTCGTAGTTCACTCACCTTAATCTCGAATTGTATGTGTACTCTCTGATCAAGGAAAAACTGGAAATCAATCGATGGATCAATTTAAGTTCGGTTTTTTCTCCTTCTTTTTTGCGCTCTTTGTCCAGTCTTACCCACTTCAAACTTAGGTGTGCCTCAAGAAAAAACACAAAAGAAAACATTGACCTAATAGAATCGCGATTGTTCAATTACGGACTTACCCATTTGAATTCTTTAGCAGCTTCATCCCGTCGACATAAAGCTAAAAAGACATCCTCCAAATTATTCGTGTTATGATCTTCTAATAATTTGTTCGGACTGTCTTCTGCTAGGAGCTTGCCATACCGCATTAGACCAATCTAAAACACACGCATTAATTGTCTTACAACACAAAGATAATGGCACTGATTTTTGCTGTGAATAAACTAAACCTTATGAAGAGCATTTATTAATCGAAAAGTTTTCGAGCAATCGAAAAAATTTAAGTTTCAATTGAAAGAAAACTCTCAAGGTCCTTTTTTCGACTTTCTTTATTTAAAGGTGTAACTAGGTTATTTTGCTAGAGACGGCCTGACTCTCCTATCAGGGGAGAGAGTCCAGTGGGAACCTGGAAAATTTTTGAAATTTCAACTCCAAAAAAGCGCGTTCCGACGCGTCCGTGACGCACATTTTCCGTTTCTTTTCGCGCACAAATTACGTCGTTTTAAGTATTTTCCGCTCAAAATTTGTTCGGATTGTTACAACGAGTTACCTACATTGCGTCAAAGATTTATCTCTGACGAGGATTTTTTCCACCTTATAGAATTTCTAGCGGGAGATCAGATGATACGATTTTCAATTCCAGGGGGGCTAGGTTCCCCCTGGCTACATCCATGCATTTATTCCACCACTGCTATTGATATTCACACTGAAAAAAAAAGTAGCTTGGCTCAAGCATGATAATTCTTGAATTTGCCGCCAAGGATTTTTTTTTAACTTGCTTTAAGCTGAATTTTTCTTGATACAAGAAAAATCATGCTTGGGTCAAGCAAAAAAGTAGTTCATATTAACCAGCGAAATTCTTGATTTAAGAAGAAATACTTCTTGGCGGCAAATTTAAGATTCTTCTTTTTCAGTGCAATATTGCCAATTTTTACACAATCGCATGGGAAAGATGAGAGTTTTAGGTGAGCTCGATTTTTCCCTGGGCCCAAAAATAAACCTTAGAGGAATTTTTCAACGTTATGTCTCGTGATCGGTATCGAGTCACGTCATAAAGGTAAGCAAGATGCATACATTGTTGGATTCGCATTATGACGTGCTTCATTTTCACATTTCTCAATAGACGAATATATATTTATATGTATCCCGTCTCATCTATGAATAATCAATCATTGTTTACCATGTGAGGTATTCCACATTGCCTTTAACTGTATCATCTAATGAGCTTACAGTGTCGTCAGGTTTGCTAATGGAGCTCCATTACAAAGCTGAGATTTGCGATTCGTAGGTCCATTTTTCTTCACAAGATGCTTAAATGGCCAAAAATTATCGGTAAACTTTTAATGGTAAAAAATAGTAGCGTGAAAATTTTGAGCCAAACGATGCATTCTTTTTTCTCTAGTTTTACCAGATTTTTACTGCAAGCTTGTCACGTGCCCTAGGTGGCTTTTTTCAACACAAAAATTGCGATAGTCTGAAATTAAGTTTGCAATTTTTTTACGATTTTAGGCGATAAAATCGCTAGGATCATCAACATTTGAGTGATTATCCTCTATCTTGTAACAATTTTATCTCTACACAATCACATTCGATAAAATCGAAATTTCATCTCAATTTATCGCGATTTTTTGTTCGATAATATTCTGATACGTCGCTGTCGATACAATCGCGATTTTATTGCAAATTTATGTAATTAAATTGCAATTTTTTATCCAATGATATTTCAAAAAACGACGTCGACAAAATTGCGATACGTTTTCCGATCAAAGTGCAACTTATCGCGATCACTAGCTGCTTCTTGGGGCTGCACAGACGAATACCCGCTACAATTATCTATGAGGAAAACCCACAATAAACCGCAAGAAACTCTCATTTGCTCCAAAATATACGTTTCGAATGATTTCAAGTCGTGGAAAGGCAGCAAATCTCGTGAGATGATCTTACAATCTACGAGTGGCTGATTCGACAGCCTTGTCCCTATTCGTATGAAAATGCTCCAAGGATCCGCGATAAGTTCCGCCGCAGTTCTTAGGTTTCCCACATCGTTTTCCGTTCATTTTTCCTCGACCGATAAGAATGAATCGGTGCAATCAGCAGATTTATGTGCGTATAATCTGAGCGAGAAGAACGAAAACTCGTGTAAACTTGGTACTCAGCTATGTAAAACATAGCTTTCCGAAGGGTAAAACACGGCGAGCGACTGCTATATGAATAGCAGCGCGTACGCATATATCGATTATCGAGGACTTGAAATGATAGGAAGCCACACATTCATCAAGGAGATGATTAACTCTCGCAGAGCCGATGATATGCCGTATGAAATGGAGCGTTGCTTGCTCCTCAATTATTCCCAATTTTGTCTCGAATGGTGGCACAATGTTTCATTTTCATCCTTTTCATGATGGCTAGGCGCACGGACTGCATAACGTCTGCTCACGATTACTCCGAATACAGAGGCGGATCCAGAAATTTGGCAACACCAGATTTCCTCCATTTAAATCTATGCTAAATAATTGATTCTTGTCGGAGCACCTGGCCCCTCCAAAGATCGATACATTACCATAGGTTTAAATATAGAAAAGACAATGTTGCCAATTTGCTGGGTCTGCCAATGTGAATATTATTTACGCACAATTCACTTTTTGGCAACGTTATACCTTCCGGAAATTTAGACAAAATAGAGGAGAAGTTGAACACGGCAGAAAACGAATGGCAAATTTTACCAAAAGTATGGTAAATTCTATCGGCTATCCCAGAAAAACATACCTGGCTACTCTAATAACCTCAAAAAGACATTACTGAAGGTCTCATAACGAAAATTCTTCAAATTACATTTTCTTACCGTGTGTGCTTGTCTTGCTTCTTCTATATAGTGAGTTGTAATTATTATTGTTTTTCCTTCCTTTGCCATTTCGACTAGTCTTTCCCATATACTGCAAAGAAAAAAAATGTAAAAGCGTATGAACAACAGACGTACATTTTCAATTTGAAAAACTTACATTTTCAATTTACACACAATTGGATCGAATTTAGTCATAAGGAACAGCAACTTAATCACATAACCGCCGAATGGTTTTTATTGTTTTCATCGAAGAAAAAATCCAGATGGTTCGTTTGAAAGCTCTTCATAGTTTTCAAGCGAAAAAAATATTATAGGCGCGAGCCATAGAAGTTTCATGTGTGACAAAAGTTAATTCCATCAGTGCAGGAAAGACTAATTAGCTCCTTTCTGCAAAATGTGATCCAAACTGTAATCTATGTATAACATACCCTTAAGAATAATTTGTCTAATTGAAGACTGCTAAAAATATTAATTTGAAACTTCTGTTCTTGCTTATAGAGTGTTGGCTCCTTAAAATAAAGTTTTCAGTTCAATCAGGAACTTTAATTAATGAACACACGCCCGCGTCACGTGCCAAACATAAACCATGATAAACCATATAAAGCGTAATGCAGTCAGTGTGGGCGAAAGAAGCGCGCCTTCAATTGACAGCGTATGCAATACGGACAACCATTAAGCACGAATAGTTGCATCAAGAAGTTATTAACAGGTGCTGCGTCCGTTGGCCGAGATATGAAAGCGAAAAGTCATTCGCTCACTCTCTATTCCCATGGATTGTCGAAAAGTGTCACACATGGCATGATCACACTGAATTTTTCAAAAATTATTTTTGGCAAAAGCAGGAAGAAAAACCATTGAAATTTTCAGAATTTCTATTATTGAATCAAATAACATTTTGGAGCCACCGGCAGGGCTGGATTTTCCTACTTGCCGCCCATGGGCCGCCTGCATTTTGCCGCCCCCTTCTCATTCGTTTTAAACATCAATAAAAACCATCAAGTGAACGTGTCAGCGGGGGAGGGGTGCATAAGACGCGTTTACTCGTGTTGAACACATTTTTTGGAAAAGCCGTGTCAACACTACCAGCAAAAGGTCACGGAACTTTGCGCGGATGTCAAGTTTCGTAAACCTATCTCTAATGGACAAGGCCTTCCATTCAAAAGAAATGAACGAAAAAATTATGAAAGAACAAACACAAAATTTGGTTTATTGATTTTAACTTCCGCCGCCGCGCCGCGCATACCGCACCGTGTTTCGCGCAATGCGTGAAGTATTCACGCAGTCTTGTAGGCGCTATGCGTTTCACGCTGACCGCACTGTGTTTGGCGCAATGCGTGAAGTATTCACGCAGTCTTGTAGGCGCTATCCGTTTCACGCTGACCACAATAACCGCACTGTGTTTGATGCAATGCGTGAAGTGTTCGTGCAGTCTTGTGGGGGCTAATGTCGTCACCTTCCAGGCAAAGTATCACAAGCGCCATGCGACGTTTAAAAATTTCCGCCGCCATTATATTTTTTTACAGAGAAATTGTTCAACAAAGCTGTCCGAAAATTTCACTAAATATTCTTTGTGCTACCGATAAAATTTAGTGAAATTTCCAAACAGATACAACCAACAATTTCTCAGTAAAGAAATAAAATGGCGGCGGAAATTTTTAAACGTCGCATGGCGCTTGTGATACTTTGCCTGGAAGGTGACGATATGTGTTACATGCCGATTGCCGCGCCGAGGGCTTCTCCTTTTCATCTCAAGTCCTCGTCATCATTTCTCCCTAAGTCGCGCCGTTCCAGACCAAATTGTGTGTTTGGTTTCTCTCTTAGCTCGACTAATTAAATGTGCTGTCTCTTGTATCAGTGAAAGACGACAAAATTAGAAATTACTATACTCTCAGGAAATGAGAGATTGTGTAGCCTTTTCTCGTTTGTAATTTTTTTTTTCTAAATCCGATTTTTTTTACACCTAAAAAAAAAAATTGCAAAATGTGCCGCCCCCTGGATTTGCCGCCATGGGCCGCTGCCCTTGTGGCCACCCCATTAATCCGGCCCTGATTACCGTGAAGATTCATGAGGTCACTGAAATAAAGCAAGAGACATTTGATGTGTTAATGTGTACCTTTTACTCAGGACCGGATCCAGACCCACCGTAGGTTCGTCTAAAATCAGAAGAGATGGATTGTGAAGTAAAGCTACGGCTAGAGAGACTCTCCTTTGCTGTCCACCACTGAAAGAGAAGACGAGAGGAATGTAAATCATTGATCAATTAAAAGATATTAAGTAATTAAATGATAGTAATAAAGTGTATAAACGGAACTTATTCTAGAACGACATCGACCGTGAAACCTCCAAACCACCTATCTCGATTTGCGACGTTGCAGACTTCCTATTCATATTTTATTTTTCAAATGGAGAACCTCTTAACGTCAATCGAGAGGTTTGGAGGACGAGGCGCATAAGTGCAGTTTTTGCTATTTCGAAAAATATGTGTTTGAAGTTTCGAAATTACATGGATCCTTACGGCGGAAAGAAAGTTTAAATTGACTTTTTGATGTTTAAAAATTGGATATTACCAGTGAATTTTTCACAGAAAATGCATTCAGACTGGTTTTATCCTTGAAATCATTAATATTTCAATTTTTTTTTTAAAAAAAAAAGTGCACTTATGTTCTTCCAACATCTTAATTCTTCTTCCAAACCACCTATCTCGGTTTGCGACGTTGTAGACTTCCTATCCATATTTTATTTTTCAAATGGAGAACTTCTCAACGTCAATAATTGAGGAGCTTGGAGAACGAGGCGCATAAGAGCAGTTTTTGCTATTTCGAGAAATACCTACGTGTTTGAAGTTTTCAAATCACATGGATCCTTATGGTGGAGAGAAAGTTCAAACTGAATTTCAGATGTTTAGAAATTGGAATTTGAGAGCGAATTTTTCACAGAATATGCATCAAGACCAGTTTTACTTGAAATCATTGATAGATCAATTTTTTTTCAAAAACTGCACTGATACGCCTTGTTCTCCAAGCCACTCAATCTTAAAAACTTCCGTGATTTTTCCTCTCCGTGAAGCAAATTCTGAAAATATTTAAAGGAATGATGTTGAATTGCCCTTCTTTGAAACGCAGGAAAATAGGAGCGGATATTTTTAAACACCGCAGACGAGATGGTTTGGCAATATCAACGTCGGTATATTCATCACGCGTAGCTTTACATTATTTCATTTTCAAGTCTATGATGTAGAATTCCTTCGAATAATCCCAATTTATAGACACCTCGTCGAGTAGGCACGTGCGCAATTGTGCGGGTGTGAGGCTGGTTCCCATCAAAAGCGCTCACTTCAGCAAAATATGAAAAGAAAAAGCGCATCGATTTTAATTAAGATATTCAGTCAGAATCTGTGAACTCGCCACAATAAGAGCGCTACATTGTTCACAAATTAATTGATCATGGCTCTAATGAGTCTGTGTTTACGGAGGTCCATTAAAATTACAATTAATTGATGGTTCTCAGCCTCCGCGTTTGGCGCTCTTCTCATCTTCTTCCTCACTTCCCAGAGAGGTGTGACATTCCGTTTTTTATGAGTTTGTTTTATTAGTTTAGGTAACATTTAGCGGGTGGGCTCTTCTCAGCTTAAAGGTTAAGGTTAGGTTAGGTAAGGTAAGGTAAGGTAAGGTTAGGGCTCAAGGTAACAATAATAGTGCTCCGAATATTGCAAATAATCCCTTGTTTGCAAATAATACAAAATTTTCACATTCGAGAAATATGTGAATGAAAGAAAAATGTCTCTGGGCAACGCCTCTCCGCCTTTTTTATTCAAAAGTTACTCAATTTGATTGTCTTTGTGGCCGTCAATAGAAAAAGGAACCATGTCTACTATAGCGACAAATTTTCAAAAGAGCTATTTTTACCGAGTGAGGCCGATTGAGCAGATTTTGACGAAAAACTCTCTGCAATATGGCCTAAAGAATGCTTCAGTGCTTTATTGGTTCATATCCTTGTGATAGTAAAAGGGGTGTCGATGCATTGTTATAAAATTTTTTTTTTTACCCTGGAAATGACAGAATAGAATTTCGAATCGCTTTTACTCGATACGTTTTTGAACTGGAAACTCCAATCCAGCATATCTCCATCCGATGCGGTGTAGCTCTTATTTTTGGGCATATAAATATTAGCCTAGAATTTTTATACATATGTATAGAACATTCTTAATAAATATCTGAATGAACCCTCTCCTCTCCGATGAACGGTCGCATTTTGATTATTTTAAATATTGCATTCTATGCAAGGTCTCCAAATTGTGCGATGAATGTGCATATTGTCCATGGGTTTAAATGGGGATTCGAATTTCCATCCTCCTCCCAAAGTCGGAGATGGCAACAGGCCAGTGGCGTGGCGTGCTTTGCGATATATCGAATGATCTGCCATTTAAACCTATGGAAAAGTATCGATAAACAGGGTGTTTGCAGCGAACACCTTAATAATCGATTATTTACCATACGTTCAAATGAAGGAATATCGATAATCGATCATTCACGCCACGCCACTGAAACAGGCGCTTACCTGAGATCTGAGATAAGCCTTGTAATAGGTGGAAGTTGAAGCATCTGAACCAGAGTGTCGACTCGAAATCGAATTTCACGGTCGCTGAGCCCGAAAACGTAGCCATAGTAGGTGAACACCTCTTGCATGCTCAGCTGGAAGTGGAGGGCCAGCTCCTGCGAAAATAATTAGCGAGTTTATTGCCGGCCATTCAATTGAGTGTCGATTGTTGACTGTTGAGAGCAAACTTTATCACGCGATCGTATCGTCAGACGCCGACTTGACACGTTTCTGGCTCCCATCGGTCGTTCTTAAGGTAAACTGGGGTCACTAGGGCAACGCAGATCGTTCCTAACCATCGCTAATCGTGCACAGACCCAGCTCCATGGCTACTCATAGAATGAAATCGTCGTTTCTCACGTAAAAGGACGCAACTAAATTTTAAAGATGATAAATTGAAGGGCTTGGAGGACAAGGCGCAAAAACTGCAGTTTTTGCTATGTCGAAAAATATTTGTTTGAAGTTTCCAAATTGCATGGATCCTCACGGCGGAAAGAAAGTTTAAATTGACCTTTTGACGCTTAAAAATTGGATTTTACCAGTGAATTTTTCACAGAATTTGCATTAAGACTGGTTTTATACTTGAAATCATTAATATCTTAATTTTTAAAAAGTGCACTTATGCTCTTTTTCCTCCAAGCCCCTTAATTGTTGTTTCCCAAATAAATGAACGTAACTCGATTTCAAGGCTGCAAAATTGATTCGAACAACTCAATTTTTTACGAGAGTGTAAGTGTGCAATTTGTATCCAAAAGTGCGCCGATTTTTTTAGGGAAATTGGAGGGAAAATCTTTTGGGTTCTCACTGAAATGTACAGAATTTTACGGAAACTTGCTGAATTTTTCAGTTTTTACGTGAAATTTTCACTCCATTCTTTGCTAAATTTTCAACAGCTTCCCGATAAAGGTACAAGGTTCTAGTGAAGACTTCGAGGTATAGTAATACAGTTACCTTATTTTGACGGGAAAATACGAAATCATCCCTCAAAAATTATATTTTTACTGGAAAACTGTTGGGTTTTTCTAATTAAAAATCTTACTAAGTTTTCTTCTGATTACATGCAAAATGTTGGACAGAAAATGTACAGTGAATTTTTTACTTAAAAAAACTCGAATTGCTTAAGTCAATTTTGCAGCATTGGGTTAGAGTTACGTTTTTTTGTGTGTAGGGAGCGACAAAGTAAGCGTTAAAGTATGATCTTCAGAGGAGAACTGACATCGCAGCAGTCGACTAGTTTCTAATGATGTTGAGCGGGCCGGGTGGTTTTGTTTACGTCTGGGAATCTGTGCTGCGACTGGTGCGCAATTGACAATGAGTTCAAGAACAGTAATTGACCAGTGGACAAAGGATGAATTATATATAGCACAACGTTACAGGTTACACGTAAATTTTACGTAGGAAGTAATGCAAACGACTACAGGCGGATAGTTCGGAAACATGAGCGGAACTAGGGTTAGCGGAAATAATAGCATCAAAATGCAATTTTGAAATTGACTTAAGAGTTTTAATGAATAAAGCGTCCATCTACTCAGTCCGCTCAACCAACCTGAGAAAATGAGAGAGATTTTGCCGAGTAGGTAAGTGAGTGATTTGGTAACTTTATTATTTTCCCTCAAACTTAACCTTTTTAAGATATTCTAAAATCCGACATCCCATCCTATCTTCATTTAGATAAAAAATTCTTCACACATTGAAAAAAAATTCTCGGCGTTTTTACCAAGGTCCGTTGGCACCTTTACCATCTCACTTTTTTTTACCAATTATTGGTAATTTTACCAAGACAGACTGGTAAACTTACCTAAAAACCGATATTTTTACTGCTTTTTTCAGGTAAGAATACTACTTTTATAGGTAATCAATTCCCGGTAACTTTGCCATTTTATCTCGGTAATTCTGCCATAGTCGATAAGAAATATTGGCGTTTTTACTAAGTTCCAGTAAAATTACCGAGAAAGTTCAATGATAATTACCAATTCCATAAATGGTAATTTTACCAAGGAAACACTGGGATCAAATAGAACCCTGAATTCTTGGTAATTTTATCCTTTTCCTAGTAAATACACCGAGATTTTTTTTTCAGTGCAGTATGCAACGTGAACTTCCTTTATGTTCAAGTCACCTTTGTCGCTTTGAAAGTTGTATCAATGAAAAATTAATTGAGAGGCAATAAACATTGTCATGCTTTGCCTCTTTGAAACGTCTCTGCATAATCTGACCACTCTGTAAAGATTTTTCCTGCTAGTTACTTGGCCACCATCCCGTTAGAACCATCAACCACCTATTGGCGCTATTTTAGTATCCACAGACATTACAGAGTACGCAGATCCATTCCTCCAAGCTTTTCAAATGTTCTGGATTTGAGGCAGGCCGAGGGAATCTGTTTATGCAATTCCACCCGTCGCACAGTGGATCGAGTCAATCACAGAGGTCGGACAATTGGACATGGAATTTTTGACTAAAACTGTAAATTTTGACGTTTATTTCGTCACATTTGGAATTTCAAGGGGTGTTTCGGGAGGAAAATTTCACGAGAAAACCAATGAAACCACTTTCAGGACCTCAAAATTGTGTATAAACGGAGTTATAAGCTTTTAAAGTTTCAAAATTTTGTCCGACCTCTCTTATCGACTCGATTCTCTGTGCGTCGATTTCGTGAAAAGTCGTCTCTACCGGGATCCAAACCCGGTACTTATTGACCCGGAGTCAGACGCGCTATAACTACTAGGCCGACTTAGCCAGCTCATGCTATGACGTCATAAAATCATTCTTAGTAACCCCCCCCCTCCCTCCCCAAACGATAAAACGCATTTAAATCCGCTTTACAACAAATGAGGACTTTTGAAATGATCTGATTAAAAATACGTCCGAAATAGAATCGGTGTGCCCGTCATGATTGAGGATTATCCGTTCCAAAATGAAGGTTACTTTCTTGTGCAAATGCCCTTGTTACGAAGAGCAAACTCCCTGCCTCTCAATTTTCATAATACGCCTCAGAAATGTCTATTCTGATTTTCTTGAGATAAACCGTTTTTGTCTGTGATTTAACGCAAAAAATGAAAAAAAATCCAAGAATGAAGAAGAATAAGTAGGTATTGAAGAAAAAGTTGAAACTGAAATATGAAATGACATATCTTTCGATGCGAACACTTTAGAAGAGAGCAGAGAATTGAGACAAAAGCATGTTTTTTAATCAGTATTGCAACTAATTGGATCTTGCTTAGTGTCACTAAAATTAGCTGAATGCGATTGTAATGTTCACCTCTGACCGTCGACAGATTGACTGGCGGTTCAGCTGCACAATGACTTAACTGACTCAATGATTTTAAAATCTTTGCTTACACTTAATTTTTTGAAATTAAATGAAATTTTGCAAAATAAAATTATAAACATTTGTAACGAATTTGTACCTAATCAAATTTTGAAAATTTAAGTTCACTCCCTATTCCGGGAAAATAAAACCCTTCGGTCAAGGGAGAATTTCAAAAATTTATAAACGTTTTACTCGTTGACTCTTTGAATAGAAATGTTTTAAAGAGATATTGTACGAAAATTTTTAAACGAAAGAAACGAAGATAAGACCTTGTGTGCCTCCTTTCAAGTAAAGCAACGCATTTGAATAATTACCCTTGGAATAAAATGTCAGCAACTTATTTGTATTTTAGAATATTACAGGTGAGCTAGGATATTATTCTTATCGAACGTAACTTAAATTCTTTTCTTTACCCCATTGATTTTCTAAATTGCGTTTTCTACGCTCTTAATCAAAGGGCTGTAAAAAGAGGGCAAATAGCGAATTACTTAGTCAGTAATTTTACCTGTGGCATGAATCCGACATCTTTAAGTCTTCTGGCTTTTAGTCGTACGGATCCATCATCAAGTCGACTTCTTCCTATTATGCAACTAAGAAGAGTTGTTTTACCACAGCCGCTAGGCCCCAAAAGTCCATATCTGAAATAAAATAAATCAGTCAACTTTAAAAAACATATATAGATAAACGCACTCTTGAATTGCAATCATGCGAACCACATCAACAACACTCATTAAAATATGATTTAAAAAAGGTCCCATATTTTTACCGAAGCCATCCAGATACTCCATTTTTTCTCATTCTGAAATCTTTATTTTTCGATTGTTCCCTTGTTCAGCTGTGTCTCTATCTTTTCTTTAAGGGATAACGAGCTGTAAGCGTGGATTATTTTTGTTTTAATTTTTCCTCTCCTTCTTACTCTTCTTCTTGTTTTCTTATTTTCTTGTTTTCCTCTTATTCCTTCCTCCGCACTTATGCCTCGTAGAATTGCGCAAAATTAAGGTGTTAAACACCATCTGAATTTTAAGACTGTTGCATCATGTACTCACACGAGACGACTAGAAATTGATATCTTTCCAGGTTGAAGAGGAGTTTTGATTCAAAGTTTTGTCACTGAACAGATAGAAAGAGACAAATAACCACTGCCCAAAAGTAAAGTAAGGGCTGTTCAAAAATACATAGATTTCTCAGTATTTAACTTTAATCAGTGTTTAAGTCAAGCGGATCAAAAATTAATACTCGGATGTGTTATATGCTCTAGGGACGTTCACTTCTGTACACTCCCAGTAATCACGGATTTAAGTTGCCATTGCTGTCAAATTTTGTCGAAAGTTGTTTGACTTTCAACAGTCTAACTTATTGGAGGCATAGCAAAAGAGGCGGTTATAGGACATTTCGGCAACGATGTTTTGTCCGCGCACCTGTTTTTTTCCAGTAGTTTACATAAAGGCGTTTTTTCGGAAGGGAAGTTTTGGTCCACTTACCACATGAGACCCAAAACTAATTGGTCCACATGTAAATACAAACGACAACTGCTTACGACGTTTTTGAATGAAAATGTTTAATGTCTTGGAAGAATGGGGGTTTGCTTGTTTTTGTTTTTTTTTGTTTTTTTTTGTTTTGTTTTTTTTTGTTTGCTTGCTCCAACGGAGAAAAATATATAATTGAGATTTTTGGTAAAAATTATGGAGCGTCATTCCCATGAGAGGAAATTCACTAAAACTCTCTACACCCCTTTGGTGCAACATTACTTAATTATCTTTCAAGAAAATCCCATATTTTTATACCTGAACTGGAAAACCTTTTGTTTTGCCTCAGCTAAAGGATCTCATATTTTTCCTGTGCATGATAACTTCGCTTCGGCACTGGTTTGCCGCAGCGCTTCGAGCTACTATTTCGCCACGGAAGTGTTGCACAGTATCATATGAGATCGAAGGCACCCCAACGTATCACGATTGATGGCATCTTTCAAGACCACGAAGTTCCCTCGCAAATTAAATCGAGTGACGACAACAAAAAGAGAGCGGTAGTCGAAAAGCTTACTGTCCTAGTATCTGTATTTAATAACGTCGTTTAGTATGATTTTTAACTTCATTAGAGGAACAAGTGACCTAATTTAAGGAGAAATATCCTCAAATTTACCGCCGAGAAGATTTTCTTATGAGTTAATAAAGAAAATAATGTTTTCTTGAAGAAGAAAATATGCTTTTATAAAAAGGAAAGTCACTTACATCAAGCAGAAACCCGCTTTTGCTCACCTATTTTATTCTTGATTCAAAATAAAATTTTCTTGACGGCATACTCAAGAATGTTCTTTTACCTCTCTTATTTCGACTTATTTTGCAAGAAAAGTTCCATACTCTTAAAGGATGCCTGTCATTCTTATTGTTGGTATGTTGGAGAGCCTTCAATTTCGTATAATACTTTACAACACCTCTGTTGTGAAATAGTAAAGCGCCGTGGCACGTGGCACGCTGCGGCGCGGCCAGCCAGCCAGCAGGGAACGCGCATTGGCGCCTACAAACCTAAGGGATACCTTCAGCATTACGCAATGCGGGAAGTATCTGCTTAGGTTTGTAGGCGCCAGTGCGCGTTTCGTGGTGGCAGCACTTCGCATCACTCCGCTTTATGCTAGGGCCTGTTATTTAAACTCGCGGAGTCAGCGTTTTCCAACTCATGATTTTTATATGTTTGCACACTCTGCATGGATTATTTTAATTTAAATTGATTATATATAAAAGGAAAATGTAATGTGTGTTTTGTAAATATTAAGGTGTTTCCTTGTCGTATTTAATGATTTTCAAAGCACATTAATTTTTTTCTTTTATATTTTGTGCTTTTATTGTGCTGCAGCGTGGTGTGAGGGCAACCAAACGCTCAAAATATGACTATTTGACTCTGAAAGATCGATGTACAAATGGGCTAAAACCGAAGATTGCGTGCTTCTCGGTTTTTTTCCCTCTTTTATTCATTTGTGCATAGTTTCTTTCGCCGCAACTACTGCTCATTGACTTTCATATCGATGCCATCGCTTGGAAAAAGTTTTACAAATATTTGCCACATTTTAAAAATGTAAATGTTTTTAAAATAAAGTAATAATTTCATTATAAAAAATTATTTGTAAGTTTATTATTCAGCGAAAATTTCAAGGATGGAAATAAAACCAAGTAGACATGACAATTTAGATAGATTGATCAAAAGAAGGAAATAACATTTCATTTAAAAAATGAGTTACCACAACAACTCTTCCGTCTCTCTCAATTTTCTCATTTTATTATTTTCAATATAATTTTACATACGGACTAAAATATGACACTTGGACCAAGTCACTGTTGCTTATTTCATACGTGGACGTAAACTACTGGACAAAACAGGTGTGCGGACAAAAAATCGTTGACGGTAAGCCCTGAAACCAAAGAGGCGTTCACAAAAATGAAGTGAGGGGCTTGGACGTCAAGGCTCATATGGGTATAAGTGCAGTTTTTGAAAAAATTGAGGTATTAATGATTGCGAGTAAAACTAGTCTGAATGCATATACTGTGAAAAATTCGCTCCCAAATTCCAATTTTTAAGCATCAAAAAGTCAATTTGAATTTTCTCTCCGCCATGAGGATCCATGTAATATCGAAACTTCAAACACATATTTCTCAAAATAGCAAAAACTGCACTTATGCGCCTTGTCCTCCAAGCCCCTCAAGACATTTGGTCCTCTAATTTGGTAAAATGGACCTCTAGACAGGTCTAAGTTAACCAAGTTGACCTAATTAACGTGTTTTTTCCTCACATTTTCGTGAGAAAAACGAATGGTAAAACCGAAAGCCCGCAGAAATTGACCTTTTTACATGATTTACCACGCTTGGCCTGAATTGCCTGACTAAAAATTTTACCTGCGTGGTTAACAGCCACAATATATCATCTGGCGAAAACCCGAATTTTTGTTTATCTGCGTTTTACGTGGCTCTAGAACATGTTCGTTTTATTGGATTTTCTGCGAGTGAGATAATACAAGCATTAAATGCATCTGGTCCTGACCATTTCCTTCACTTTAAAACTCGTGCAAGCGACTAGACTAAACGCCTCATTCCAATGACGGGACAGCACGGCAAGGTGGCCTTCTAACCTCACATACTGCCGTGCAAGTGAAGAACGCCGTATGAACATTTAAATGTTGCAATATTTCCTCATATATAAACATTTTATTTTGCAGTAAAGTTAAAGATATTTTTTCTCTTGAAATCCCAAACGTTATCTTTAGATAGCAATTTTCAAGAACTCTCGAAGATTTGTAAAAAAAAATCATTTTTCAGGAAACCGCGTTTGGATATTTTTCGACGTATAGTCATGTGACAATTACGCAGAAAGGTATTTTTAAAAAATCTACTTTTTTAAGAGATATTAACAGTTTTGTTCAATCATAAAAAAGTACATAATAGTAGGTCGTTAAAGAGTTTGTTGGTACTTTTTTTTACTAAAATTGTTACTTTGTGATTATTTTAAAAATTACCCACAAGAGAGTTAGAGTACCTATAAGTCGGGAGAGTATAGAAATGTCTAAATATGGTTCTTAGGGTCCAAAAAGGCAGCCAACCGTCTAAACAAACACGTCACACAAAACACTAAAAAAGTCTACAGAGACTAAAAAATCGAAAAACGAACACATTTAGGGGAAAAAACAAAAAAAAAAGAAACAAAAAGAAAAAGAAATCTGTGTAATGTAAAGAGGCATTTGGCAACGTCTCAATGTTCATATGGCGTTCCTTTTGAGCACGGCAGTTGACCAGCGTGCTCGGAGGTCGGTAGTTTACTAGTTCAATGAAACTGCGGTGATCCATCGATCTAATCAAAAGTCAGAATTTGCGTAAAGGACGATCAATGTGCCCTTTAGGGTGACGTCACATATGCAGAACCATAAAAAGACTCTTTTGGTGCACTGAATTTGAGACAATTAGCTCACTCGGACTTCAGTTTACGACATGGAACTACTGTTCCTGACTAATTCTAGAAACAACGAGGGCCATCGCTTTACTTATGCAGATGGATGCTTGCATGGATGAGTTTTGAATCATAGTTCCATATGGCAAAATAGGGCTCACCTTCACAAACATAAGAATACTTCGATAATGGAAATCACAAAAAATGTATCTTAATTTCCAACGTTGCAGATTTATGGGCACATTTTCATTTCTCGAAAGGAAGCCGACCATAGTTATTTCTTGAATTTTTTGCCAAATTTTCCTCAACCTGCGAAGAATATTTTTAGGAGCATGATATAATGCTCATTGAATTTTCTTCGAAAGAATAAGACAATACCTGATGGGAACTTAAAGAAATTCAAAGGAAAGGGACAAAGAGTCTGTGGAAATGCCTTGCAAGTAATATCATCAGCCCCTAGTAGTGCAGTAAAGCAGTGGCGTGGCGTGAATTGCGATTCGATTGTTATGCCATTTGAACCTATGGTAAAGAATCGATTATTAAGGTGTTCGCTGCGAACACCCTGTTTATCGATCCTTTTCCATAGGTTTAAATGGCATAAAAATCGATATATCCCTATTCATGCCACGCCACTGGGTAAAGTAAAAGTAAAAAATACAGCCCGAATAACTTATCTGAGTTATTTGATTTGTACTTACATGGTTCCTTCTAGAACTGTGAGGTCGAGTCCTTTGAGAACATGAGAGGAGCCGTAGCTTTTGAAAGCCTTTTCAACGCGAACCGCCACGTCCCTCTCACCAGGAGAAGCTACCATCTTGATGTGCTCTCTGCAACAAGAATATAACCGGAAATCAGAATAGTGGAAAAATTAGTATTTTTTTTTACCCTTATTTTGCCATTTTTCATACAGCATCTCGATGGTGTAAGTCGGCAATCACGTAACTCGGTTTGCGACGTCGCAGACTTCCTGTCATACTTCATTTTTTAAACGTAAAAATGCTCAATGGCAATTCTTTAAAACTGCCGTGATTTTTCCCCTCTGTGCGAGGAAAATTCTGCAAAAACTTCAAGGAATGATGTCAATTTGTTCTCCGATAAAAAAATAACATATAGAGGCGGAGATTTTCAGACACCCCAAACTAGATATGTGATTGCAGACTGACGCCGTCAATCTCTAAGAGTAGCGACTGTCAAAAAGAAATTGTGAAAAACTGCAAATTTTACGGGGACAACTCTACAAAAAATTGTAATATTTTTTTTAAAAAAAGACTTCTTCCACGTACATTTTACCGGGTTAATTTTTTGTTGAAGAGAATGTCCAAAATGGGTTCCTGAAAACATTTTTAGCAGTTTTTTTTGAGAATTTTCAAGAAGTATTCTTCAGCACCCGTTGATATGGGAGCTTTTTTTAAAACATATCAGTATGAGATATTACGTCAGATTTTCGATATTTTAAATCACCGTGTAATCACAGTCAACCCGCTGCTACTCGCGGCAAGTACCATCACATGAGGCATATACATATATACGTGCGGGTTCAGAGGCCGTTAAAACACACTATATAGAGAAAAAAAATATATTTGATAGCAAAGGGGAAGGGGTAGCTCGCGTGAATTTCAAGCGTGATAGTTCATTCAGAAACCGGTCCAGTTTGTGTCATTATACTTAACCTTGCATCGCAAACTCACAGTCAGTCAAGTGTAAGATACTCGCAGTTGCCAGGTGTAACATGAAGGATAAAATTTCACGCCAGTGTTAGGTCCAGTGGTCTTGGGTTACCTGTGCGTCCTAAGCACGTATGTGTACGTACATAATTAATTATTCTCGCATAAAATTTTAAAAAAAAAGAAAATAAAAAAATTGGACCAAGTATTCATGACTGGACATAAGAGCTTAATCTAAAATAGTGATACGTGTACTTATAAAAACATGTCACAGTAAGCACTGTGCCGTTAATTTTATTGGGCGGTCCATACCATTAATTTAAGTATAATGTAGTCATCACCCGTGACTCGTTTTAGGGGGAAAAAATACGAAACAGACAAAAGAGAAAATCATTTGACACATCCAGATGAGTGATACAGAATGGTATAAATAGACTTATGACTTCATTTATATGTATATAACTTTTTTTTTATCAGTTTTCCCTTTTCTTTACTATCTTACTTTATACCCATCCAAAAAAACTGCTAGCACTATAAATTCTTTCTCGGAGATACTATAACGATGAATGGCGAAGACAAATTAGGTACTGCATTTAAAATGTTTGCTTCAATACAGTATTCTATAATTATGTGCCACAGCGAAACACCGCGGAACTACCTTGGTATTTACAAAACACACATTATATTTTCCTTTAACACATATTTGTTTTCATCAATTAAAATGAGAATTATCCATACAGGATGTGCAAACATTTCAAAATCATGAGTTGAAAAACGCCGACTCCGCGAGATTAAATATTAGAGCCTAGCACAAAGCGGAGCGGCGACGCACTGGCGCCTACAAACCTAACAGGGATACTTCACGCATTGCGCAATGCGTGAAGTATCCCTGTTAGGTTTGTAGGCGCCAATGCGCGTTTCGCGCTGGCTGCCCGCCCGCCGCGCCGCAGCGTGTCACAGTGCTTGAAGCAACTATTTCACACCAGAGGTATTGCGCAGAATCATACGCAATTGAAGGCGCTCCAACATATTAGGAATGGCAGGCATCTTTCAAAAGTACGGAACTTTCCTCGCAAAATAAATCAAGATACTACGGCCCAGAGAGAGAGCGGTAGTCCGAAAACTCACTAAGTCCTAGTATCCGTAATTAGTAACGTTTAGCATACACTTTATTGCCTGGCTGTTGCTTAATCGTCATCGACTATAAAATGCTATAAGTAATTATGTAGCCGGCTATAGAAGCTATTGGAAATCTTACAGCCGGCTGTAGGTCTATGGTATTTTGGAGCATAGATTCTAATGCCAATTGTTACCAGGGGTAACACTCTTATTGCTAATAAACCTTCTTTCAATGTTAAAAAAATGTATTTTTCTTGTGTTTGGCATTAAAAACAAAACAAAAAAATATGTTTAAAAGTTCTTGAAAAATCCATTGATAAAAACACTTCTAAGGTGTAAGAGAGATATTCGATGATTATTTTTACATGCACTTCAAAAGTATCTTCGTAAAATGTTTAGAAATGTCTAACAACATGTACGATGAAGATAGCTTCCTTCCCAGCTTTCTGTGCTGTTTTAAAAAATAATATTACATTTATGTTAGATACCACACTGAAGCGTCTGGGCTGAACCAGCGAGCCAACAGAGTTTCGGTTTCGTCCACTGAAACGTCCGGTTGAGATGCTCGGAAACGAACGGTGTTCTTTCATGCTCATCTATTCAGCTCAAAAATCAAGACCAGTTTTTGTCAGTGCATAAAACATAGCTTATTCTTGTGAAAAAAAAAAATACATGCCTTTACTACAGCATTCGAGCATTCTCGGAAATGTGTTATATTTTAAGGACATTAATCAATTTTTCATTCATTTTTATACTCCGAATTTTACTGCTGTTTGGGAGGGAGGGAAGGGACACTACTTTAAAATGCCATAAAGTTTGCTCTCTTATTTATAAATGCAAATACGAATTTATTTGAATGTCCGGTGACCATTGAAACAAATTAGTTTTCTTCTTACGCTTTTCCATTCTCTACTCCTCTTTATTCTTCTTCTTGATCTCCTTTTCGTCTTTTTTCTCGTCTCCTGTTTCTTGGCCGACATCTTTTTCTCATTCCTTTCAATCATTAGAATGTGACATATCAGAATATCAGATTGAGAGCTGTTTTACTGTGCCAATTATCGCCCAAAAGACCAACTGACAGCGCTGTGTTTTCCTATTCAATATGTATTACATATCTATCATAGAACATTATTTAATTGGTAAAAATTCTCCCTATTGCGGCGTCTTCAAACGAACGTATCTAGCCACAGTACCGTCTAAATTTTTTGCTATATCCCCTTCTTGTCTTGACACAATTATGATCGCGTGCTTCCCTTTTTTTATTAATCACTTCCAGTTTGGCGTGTTGTTTCTTTTTGCACCGGAATCCTAGAATGTTAATGGGGTTTGTCATAAACCGTGCCACTGATGTTGAGGCGGATACCGGACTAATTCATTCATAACAAGCCAGACTGCCAATTAATAAAAAATGCATATTGTAATTAATCTCAGTAGTAAATTTTGACAAAAAACTTATCTGACAACGGTGAGGACGCCGCGAGGTCTGTGAATTTATCTGTTTTTTCTGGTTTTCCCTTCGTTTGAAATTTTGTAGACAATTTTACTAACGAGCTTCCGATTGTTTCACGCGAGACACGGTGGCCGATTCACTTCCGATCCACGAATACGACTATTTACACATCTTTTGATCATTAACATCTGCTGAATCCGCTATCGCTCGGTCAAAAGCTCTACTATTGGTGGAGGTAAGATAAAAATTGATCCAAAGGCGCGATAAATAAATTACATGAATCGCGTGGTAAAGACCATGATTTGATGGTTAAATTTCTTAGATTAGCAGAAAACAATACTGTGCCTTCTTAAGGTCATATTTTTGCCATGTCCATAAATTGCTGAACTGTTGATTGAGACAGGCGGCCTGTTGAGCAGTATGGTTAATGGCGTCATCCATCTTGTAGTCGCGTACCATGTAACTTTAGTGAGCTTTAAGTGGAAGAGACCAAATATGCAATTTTGCGATGAATGATATCCACTGGAAAAAAACACATTGGATCTCTAGAGTCCAGACTCTTGAAAACATTAACAAGAAAAAGTACTCTTGATTCAATCAGATTTTTGCTTAATCAAAAGGAAATCCGCTCAAATTAGGAGGCTTGGTTCTTGATTTAAGCAAAAATCCGATTGAATCAAGAGTATTTTTTCTTGTCGATGTTTTGAAGAGTCTGGACTCTAGATCCAATGTGTTTTTTTCCCCCAGTGTCTTTACGAGATCACGATGATTAATAACCCAGAAAAGTTAAGTTTAAGATTTTTGGCAAACTGACATCACCGGAATGGCATGGTTATAATGTGCGTCCAATTTCATTACACACGAATAAAGAATTTAAGCAGTCGTCAGACTGAGTCAGAGAAAAAGGGTCACATCAAAAAGATAAAATTGAAAAAATTGAAGTAGGAGGAGGAAAGGGGAGGAGGAGGAAAATAAGAAGGAGGTAGAGGATGAGGAAGAGAAGTAGAAAGAATTCGAGATCTGGAAATACCAAACTTATAGTTCCCAATCCGTTCGGGATTTTCCAGCATCCTGCTGCCGGTTTGAACTTTCAAAATGTAAACAGACGAGGGTAGCATTCCTCGGTGCATTTAGCCAAATGTTACAGTTAATATTTTTCAAAAATAAATAGTCAATATGTGCGGTCCTGAGAGGACTTCCATTTATTATCAACATTTTCCTAGCCGAGACATATTTTTAAACTTCTACAAGACTCAACATAAAATTTAAATGCTCGTACTTGACACGTGACGTTTAAGACAAGAGCCGCTGGAACGCAAAGAATAAACTGCCCCTCCCCCCCTCCCCCTAAAATCATCATGCCTCGACCATCTGGATAACAGATTGCACCAAAGTTAGTGAAGATGGTACCTCGTATAAATAATTACTTCCTCTGGATAAAAAATATTGATGGCTGAAGTGCAAAACCACCTATCTCTATTGCGGTGTTTCACACGATTTTTCCAATCAATCAATCAAAAATCGAACCATCCATATGTTGACACTCGCGTCAACATCGATAATCGACGAGAGTAATCGAATCAATCGAGGAT